TCTTATCAACGAATAAATCCACATTAGTATAAGTTTAAAAAAAACATTTATTTAATTTTTTTTTGAAGAAAGAAAGAAAGTCATTTAAATAGAGTAACTTATACAATCCAAAAATTATAATACTTGAGGATCGGATGACAACAGATTAAAGTTGACAAGTTGTTGTTTAGAAATTGCATTTGTGATAAATACCATGGAAGAGAACAATAAAAGTAGTGAGTGGAGAGGTTAAGGTGATAAGAGGGCGGGTGGGGGGGGGGGCGCACTTGGATCACATGACCATGACTTAAAAGCATAGACATGTGCTCTGAAATACGAGCTTATTTTAAAATGATGTTGCTTAAAGAATAAGGAGTAGAGACGGGTCTGAGGTGGGTGGGGGTGAGTGTGCTTAAAAAAAATACTTAATAATAATGTCTAAGTTTCCAAAAAATAATATCAGGGAGAGGCAAACTCACATGAGATTTAGGACAGGTCAGGTGACAGGGATAAAATATGTGTCATCTGTAAACATTAAACAAGGGCATGTGACATGGCCTGGAAGCCTTTGCGACCTTGGGATGCTATCTGAGCCATCCTAAACATGTTGACAAATAAGTCAAAAGGTAGCCAGATTAAGCTTAGCATTTGTCATGTTGTGTGTGTGGATGTTGGGGGGGGAGGGACGCTACAATTTGGAGTTTGCAAGACAGCAGGTTATTTTGGAATTCTAAAATAAAGACATTAAATTAAATATCTTCTGTTTTTAAACTTAAAAAATTCAAGTGAAGCAGGAACATTATTTCTTCACTAAGAATAAATTTTTTAAAAGTACAATATTGTCTGTTAATAGATTTTACACAATGTGTGCATTAAGGAAGCAGGAACATTATTTCTTCACTAAGAATAAATTTTTTAAAAGTACAATTTTGTCTGTTAATAGATTTTACACCATGTGTGCATTAAGGAAGCAGGAACATTATTTCTTTACTAAGAATAAATTTTTTTAAAGTACAATATTGTCTGTTAATAGATTTTACACCATGTGTGCATTAAGGAAGCAGGAACATTATTTCTTCACTAAGAATAAATTTTTTAAAAGTACAATTTTGTCTGTTAATAGATTTTACACCATGTGTGCATTAAGGAAGCAGGAACATTATTTCTTCACTAAGAATAAATTTTTTAAAAGTACAATATTGTCTGTTAATAGATTTTACACCATGTGTGCATTAAGGAAGCAATTTTATTTTTTTTAAATTTAAGTTTTCATACAAACTTGTCCCATTTCCAGAACTTTATTATGAAGGGGTAATAAGGGGAGAGACTGCAATCAGGTTAGTACAAAATAAAATGAGTAAAACAGAGTAGGCGCTGTTTTGTTGCGCTTATTTTTTCAGGTTTAACCCTACTCTGTTTTACTCATTTGACTTTATTATGAAACATCTCTTATACATAATTTGCTTCTGGTGTTTCCTCCTTCCTTTTCAAACCACCCTCACCCCAACTCCAAATGTTTTATATTAATAGTGCTGAGTGAATGAAAAGGGTCTGTCAAGCATGACATGTTAAGTCTGTTAATTTTTTTTGGGGGGGTGGGGACTTTTTTATTAATCAATAAAGAGCCAAGGGTATGGTGTAGGACTGTCTGTAGGACTATTGTGTAAAGGCCGGCAGGTATGGACTATTTGTAGGCCTATTTCTCAAAATACATTGAACTGGTGTAAAAAAAAAAACTGCATCTGGTTAAGGGTTAAGCCCTAGTTAAATTATTTCCTCAGGTTTGTGTCCTTTAAAAGATAATTTTTTTTATACTGACTACTGACGTCATGCTACAGCTCAGAGTTACAGAACAACACACACCAGATGGGAGGAAATAGAAAGCGATTAACTTACAGCAAGGTCTGTGACATTAGCGCCTACGGCCTCCACTACTCCAGCACATTCAAAGCCCATTATGATGGGTGTCTTGGGTGGGTGGTCAATGACTCCTTGTCGCACCATGAGATCAGGAAAACTCATGCCACTGGGTTGAATTTAAGAAAATAAAATCAAAGTCAGTTTTTTTTAAAAACACATCAAAATGTTCCTATTGAATAATGACGGGATACGATTGTTTCTAGCAGACTGAATGGACATAGAAACATTTAGTGGGTCATCTCAGGTTATTTTTACCATAAAATGTTATTTTGTATCAAAGCCCTTGATCTTAAATTATTTTCATGTATTTGCAATGGTCACATATGGTGGTTTTTTGTTTTTAATGTTAAATTGTAATATCCTATATATTCCCTCCCAATGGTAAGCAACATAAAAGACAGATCTTTTATCTCCCCTCCCAGGAGCCAATCTATCCAGCCATGTATCCCCTGCAAAAAATTTCACTATGCAAAGTAGTATGTGAAGATTTTAGCGAACCATCTTAGATGTCATATTTCTACACCCAAGCAAGGTTGAAAATTCTTAAAACAGAAAGCACAAAATCCTTGAGCTCATTTAAGTTATAAATGTGAGGCTGCTAAAAATTCAAAGCTCAATAAAAAACTAAAATACCCAGAACTGCGAAAGGGGACAAGCTAGAACAATGAATGCAACTCACCAGGCTTTGACTCTTATCAGCACGTCACCCTCCCCAACGGTGGGCTCTGGTTTCTGCTGCACCTTCATCATCTTTACACCACCAAAACCAGTCAGAACAATGCTCTTAACCTCTTTGACTGGCGCGGCTGGGGCAGGGGCCTCTGGCTTGGCATCAGCTTCAGGTGCTGGGGTTTCAGTTGTCTCCGGCATTTCAGAGGTTTTTACTACCAGCTACAGCATAAATTTAGTTTTTTAAAACATGTATAGAGATATTAAAGTGAATTTTTTTCTTGGTTGAGTTTAACAATGGTGAATAATATTGGTTACTTAAATCTGTTTGACTACAAGGGTTTGGATTAAACTTTCGTAGTTAGCAGCAGACACATTTCTTCCAAGTTAAAGCATATTTAAATGTGTATGAAAATCCTACTTTGTAACAGCAGAATAAATTCATGCCATACAAATCGTGTCAACTTTTTAGCCATAGCTTGAAACCACAACATTATCAGAGACCAGCTATAAAAGAAGTTCAAATTCTTAAAAGTCTGGTAATATTTTGCAATGATGCATCAAAATAATAATAATTCTTAAATCAAAGGCCTACTTAAAATACATTTAGTAATAAATGGTGATATGCTAAGACTAAGAGGGAGTAGACAAAAATAGACAAAATAAATCAAGAGGCAATAATGATATGTATTTAAATTTGTTTCAAAACCATCAAGAAAAAAAAATGTCAAAAATGTCTTATTTGTTCTTGCAAAGCATTTACTCATTTAGCCTACTCATTAATCAATGTGTTTTTACAGAGTGCAATAAATTTTTTAATAAACTACATAAGAATACATTTGGCTTTGGAAACAAACATCCCTTAACAAATGCGGTATTTAACTAAGACTAGAATAGATGGTAGAGACATTGATAGCTTTTAAGTCAAAGAATTCATTTTTTAGTGTCCGTGGTCACTGAAAACTATAATTTCAATGATAAAAATGAACATATTTTGTACACTTGCTCAATGTCAAGGCAACACAAAATAGTGACAAGATTATACTTTCAGATTCATTGCGCCTCATGTGGGAGGGGCAAAAAATAGGGGGGGGGGGGGGGGAAAAAAGGGGGGGGGGGGGGGCTCGGTGGATGACAAGCCAGAGCCAAAGCCTAACACTAACTGCTCTATCACGCTCAGGCTGGCTTAGCATTAATGTTAACAAATTAAAACATAAGACATAAGCTTTGACTAATTCAGCGGGTTAAAGTTAAAGACATGCATTTTAATATATTCTCATTGTTTACTGTCGTTGAAAAACATAACAGTTTCATTTCATCCCTCATATTCCAGACATACCTAATTAACATGATTATGATCAGAATCATAGAGCTAAATTGACTAGCAGCTTTCTCTCTGATCTTACTCCGCGCTGTTATTCATTCATTCACTGAGTTTCTTAAAGAAAGAGAGACATTTTGCCTTATACTACGAGTTACATACTTGTTTTCTTTAGTTAATAAATAAATTGGTAGCATGTGCTTTTATACAAGCCTTGTAATTAATTATTATTATATTTATATCGATGTGCGGATAAAATAATAATTTAAAATCAAATAAAAAGAATGTATGCAGATGCTTTTAATTCTTAGTGTAAGTGTAAGTCAGTAATTTTTATTTTTTTAAATTGAGCATTGAAAAAAAAAATTATAAAATAGGCCAGCTTATATTTATATTATATACTTTTGTTAAAATTACACTCATCTTTACTTACCAGCTATTTGAATGAAAAAAAGTTCTGAATTATCGACGTGTGCGGCAAAGTATAGACTGAGTATATCCAATGTATATGGACTATGGCAATCAAATGATTTAGTCACACACAGTTGAGCTGCCTCAATCACGCAGAGCACCCTCGTTTCTACACTACAAAGCCAAACTTAATGCAATAAAATAGATCGTGCATCCAGTATTATTTTAAGTGAGTTGTGAGTTAATTACATGAGAAACAACAGGAGTCTACACCATATGTTATTAACTGACGCCCCGGCTGCAAGGCCTTTGGCTTTAGAAAATAACAAGGTTGGGACCACGGTGGAGGCCGTCTAAGCAGTTGATCGATGAACTCACCATGTGCGAGTTCGCGGAATAAACATATTTACAGCTACAGCTCTTCTGATTGGCTGTCGCATATCACTGGTTTTCTTTGCTCCTGTTGATTGTGTTATTTATTTATTTTCTAAATGAATAATATCATTGTTTAACCAATCTTAGTCTTAAGTCTTATTAAATAATGGCACCTTTCCTTCTAAAAGTATGAATAGTAAATGTCATAAAATATGGATGCAGATAAAATATGGATTACTATCATGTCCTTATTATAAATAGGGCAATGATACTTAGGGATCCCTTGATTGACCTATGACCTGCTGACCCTTTACTCTCCCGGGCTGTTTGTAAACAAATAATTTGTTCTATATGGGAGTGACGACAACTTTGTCCAAGCAGAGAAAACATTAGTAAACTCCAGGTTAATCAGTAGTTAGCAATTGTTAGACAATTATTTACCATACGATAATTTACCATTAAAGTTAATGTATAGAATATAGTTATCTGTACCTACAAGTAATAAACATTCAGTTTTTCACCTAATTTCGATAACTTTTTTTTTTTACACTACTGACTTTGTACTACTAGTATAGTGCTACTACATTTATGATTTCATTATAGTTATAGCCATAATAGCACTTCAGTATTTAGTATTATTAGTTAGGCCTACTAGTTATTGAATATATAGTTGGCTTTAGTTGTTTATTTTAACTGCAAACATTTAAGTGCAGTTTTTTGTCTGTAGTTGTAGCAGTAGCAGTGCTCAGTGCTGGTGACTTAATTAAGTCATTTCATATTTTGACATTAGTATTAGAAATAGTAATCTCTTAGTATTAGTAGCAGTAGTAGTAGTGTACCTGGGTGCATGGAGGCAGCAATGTTGTTTCTCATACCTCAACTTACTTCAAGTTAAAGCTGAATTCAATGAAGTCAGGGGCAAGACTAGTGCTTTAGTCAAAGGATGGCATGGCACTGAATGTAGTGCACCCACAAAAATACACAATCTGCTTATCCAACACGTTTTTATAACCTACATACACAAAACAAAGTATTAGTAGTAGTACATGACTAAGGATGAATTATTTTTAATATCAGTCAGTCAGTGGATGATTAAAAAATTGTATAATATGGGGATGTGGCATGGTGAAAGAAAATGATATAACATTAGGTGTGCTGTCTCTTACTATTATTTTTTAAAAGTTTTAACTATAATTTACTTAAAACATTTGTATATTATTGACCCCCCTCCTCTCTCTCTCTCTCTCTCTCTCTCCAGATCACAAAACATGCCGTCAGTACACACAGTCATTCATTTGTTGATGCTAGTACTTGTTGCTGTTCTTGGAACTATGTACATTCAACTTCAAGCCCAGTATTTAGAAATGGCAGATTCCTGTAACAACATGCTAAGAATCCCTAAATCAACACACCCTAGAAACAGTGCAAATGTGTTACCAACTGCAAGTATGGATATGCATGGCACCAAAAACCATTTGCTGGAATCTATAAATAAATTTAATTTGGAATCTTCCTCCTTATTTCTGCACCTGGATGATAAAGATATCCTCACTGGCACCGAACTGCAAATGAACACATCATTTATTTTTTCTATCTCACAAAGCTCTTTTGAGTCCAGCTCCATAACGTTTAAAACAACAGAAAAGATCGCATTGAGTGAATCTGGTAAAATTAAAGATAAGGAAATAAGCATAGCTGAACAGTTTGTAGGAGCTAGTGCCACAGAGGTCAGGAAAACTCCAGAAACTTACTCTGTTGATATTACAAATTCTGCACAAATAGAACTTTTAACATATAAGGAATCTTCACAACCATCTGATTCAGAAATATCAGAATCTCAACAATTTTCAAAGGATATTCTTTCATTTCAACCAAGTACCAAAGCTGATAAGCCTGCCAACAAGTTAGGGAGCTATGAACATTCACACTTTCTAGATCACAAAGATACTTCCACAAATTCCTTCTCATCAGTTGAGTCTTATAATGACCTACTCGAGACATGGTTTGATTTAAAGTCTTTGGCAGTATCTCAGACTTCCAGAGACCTTAAACCTTCATTTACTCAAAGTGTGTCCGTTGGTGCTAATGACAGAAATTTTCTTGAAACAAATGTTGATGATTTTACAGAAGAGGATGTAATTTTGTCTACTGAAAATATTCAGGATGATATTAAGCCATTCTGTCACACGGATAATTGTGAAAATATCAATGAAAGAAGTTTCAATTTACCGAGTATTGAACCAATGCATATAGAAGATGATTTAGATAATGAACCATTAGTCAAACACATGTTTGTAAAAGAATTAGAAAATAATAACCAACAAAATGAGCCTTATTCAAACATTTTTGAAGTCAATCTGGATAAAATTACAGATATTAAAGAATTGAGTAATCTTATTTCTTATGGTACATCAGCTTGGTGCCAGTTGAACAGCTTTGGCACAAGATCTTGTAGATTTCACAACTTATGTTACAAAGTAAAGGAAGATGATTTTATTTTTTTGAAAGGAGATAAGAGTGTGATTAATATGAGCCCCAAAGATGATAATGCTGACTTCAGTGAGGTGTTTGCCATTAATCTTTCCACTGTCCCAGATCATAATGCACATATGTTTTCAATGGTTACTATTCCAGCAGAAAGCCTTCATAAATTCTCCATAGCTAAGATAGACAAGGTGGCTGTTATCATGAGTCGATTCAAACCAGATAATATTATGCATGTACTACATGATGATATCATCCCTTTATTTGACACACTTTACTATCTGAATCCACAACATCTGGGCAAAAAATTTGATGTTGCTCTTGTTTTTTCAGACAATCATGACAATAAAGATTTCAGTCAAATTTACTCAACTCTTTCATCTTTCCCTCCCATCACACTTCGTAAGTTGAACTACTCATCAGATGTTATATGTTTTAGTGATGTGTACGTCGGACTTGCGGGATCAACATTATGGTACCAGTATGGATTTTTCGAACCCCAAGGCCCATTGCCTGTCAATGGTTCAGATGTACTTTTGAAAGTGCGGAGATCAGCCAACTACCTAGCCGAACATTTCCACACAAAGTGCCTGTTGTGCAACAGTGGAAATTATTTAGTAATTTTATCAAGGAAAGACAATAGACTAATTCTCAATGAAGGAGAGTTAATCATGGCGATGGCAAAGGCAACCAAGCTAAAAGTTATGTCTGTGAGTCTAGAGACTCACAGCTTGGGTGAGATAATTTCTATCATAAAATACTCACGAGGAATTATTGGCATGCATGGATCCCTCCTTTCATTAGTCATATTCTTACAGCCAGGCTCGGTTGTCCTAGAGCTTTTCCCTTTTGCCATAAATGCTTCAAAATATACCCCTTTCAAAACTTTCTGTGAACTACCAGGATCAGGGATTGTTTACAGATCATGGACAAATCCCTACAAGCAAAAATCTGTAGCACATCCCGAGTGGCCACCAGAAATGGGTGGCATTCACCATTTGCCAGACAATGTTCAAGATAAAATTGTTCATGAACAGGTTGTTAATGATCACCTCTGCTGTGAGGATGCGTCTTGGCTGTATCACATTTATCAAGACACTGAAGTTGATTTAAATGCCGTAATTTCCATTACTGTTGATGCATTTGCCGTTTCTGAAAAAAATACCATTAGATCAGAACAAAAATCAAACTCAAAATTTCTGCTAGCACCAGGGCCTGTAAAGAACCTTGCGTGCAAACAAAACACAACTACCAATGTTTATATTTATGAGCTTAGCTGGCAGCTTCCTTGGAATTTAGAATTCCTTGATCACAAACATTTGGAGTCCCATTTGGTTTTCCAAGAAAGCGGTGATAATGAGACAACTGATGTTATACTTCAAAATGACCAAGTGTCTTACTCTATTCAGTCATTAGACAGAGATGCGGAATATAATGTATGGGTTAAAGTTGTTATAGATCATAATGTTGGTGGGCCATTCACATATACTGCTTGTAGAAGTAGCAAACTTAGGAGGTAAGCAGTGTTTATTGGCAGTGTCAATTTAATTTAGAATTTTGGAGCTGGTACAATGTAATCTGTTTGATGAGTATTATTTTAAAAACAAATTATAATGTCACATTAAATAAAAGCAATTCTAAAATATACATTTTTATTCTGACTGTCGTGGACAATTTTAATTGAGAACACTTGGACTTTGATTACTTTCTTATTTCAAGTATGTATGATTTTGAATTTAATGTGTTAAGATTCTCTTACCTTTGGGCTCTTTCTAAAGACGAATTATGATCACAAGGTCAGGTGAAAACAGAGTGTATAAGATGTTATTAAATTGTTACAAGAAGATAATATAACTATTTATCAGGGTAATAAGGGGAGAGACTACAATCAGGTTAGCACAATATAAAATGAGTAAAACAGAGTAGGGTTAAACCTGAAAAAAGAAACGCAACAAAACAACGAACGTGTCGGCAGAAAGCCTTCGTCAGCGAACGAAAAACAGAAAAAACGGTATAAATGTAAAAATAAGAAATAGCACTTAGCTTGGAAGTAGTATCCGTGGGCCTCAAAAGAAATTTCTTTCAGCAACAGCATAACAATGTTATTAAAAAGAATTTAGAGAAATAATTATTGCATTTTTAGTGTTGAAATTACACAAAATCCACACATTTACTTGAATTTTTCGTTTTAAACTTAATGTATGGCTCTCACAGAATTACTTTTCAAAATATGAGGTGTCCATGGCTCTCTCAGACAAAAAGGTTCCAGACCCCTGCTTTAGGGGAACAATTAAGGAGAATTCATTGTTTTAGTGTAAGAGTGAAGGTTTTAAATTTTAAAAAAGCACTATTTTAAATTTGTAGTAGGGTAATTTTCAATTATGATGAATCTGTGCAATGGAATACATATTTTGAAAAATCTCTAATAATTGCTGTCTCTAGTTTGTGAATAATGAAGTGTCTTATAAGTAATAATATATGAGAGAATGGATTCAAGCCATATGAAGTAAAGAAAAAGTGGAACAAGATATGTTTAGGCTTGAAAGGAAAAGATGGGACAGTTAAATGGACATTTCCGCTAGATGCCTTCTTCAGCAGACAAATCAAAACAACAGATAATTTAAATTAAAAACAAAAAATTGTGTTTTAAAATTTCAATTGAAAACAATGCAACAGGCTAAATGTTCAGAACAGGAATCTTTGGTTTAATTCTCCTTCCTTTTCTTTTCAAGCCTAAGCATATCTTGTTCTATTATTTATTTAACTGTGATACACACTTCACACTGTAATGAGCTAGGATTTTAAACACTGTTTATTTATTGATGTAAAAATTAATTTGGATTGGATGTATTCTCTGCAAGGTTCATTACTGAATTCAATATTTTTTATTTTTTTTTACACTTTTGAAATGTTAATAAAAGAAATTTGTTTATTGATGGCATCTTGATTGTGTTTATTGATGGCATCTTGATTGTGTTTATTGATGGCATCTTGTTAGGTTTTTCTATTCATTTTTAACATAGTTTTAATTCAGTTGGTTTAATGTACGTTTGTTTGGTGTCAAACCTTGCAATCAGTCTTTGAAGCACTTCACACAAACTGATACTATTGAATTCTTGTACACGTTTTTTTTTTTTAGGACGATTGAATATATTTATATCAAAGATTGAGTTTTTGTTGTAAATTTAAGATTAGGGTTTTTTTAAATTTTGAGAGAAGAAAAAGTTGTAATTCAAGGGTACGAAAAGGGGTAAATTTAAAGTATTTGTCTAGCGTATTAATTTTCCCTCAATTAACTTCTTTAGTGACAAAAGTGATATAATTATTAATAATTTAGACTGAGTAATATAAGGTCATGTTTAGAGGGGGAAAAGTAGTTTAGGAGCGTGGAAGGGTGTAGGGTACGCGTATCATATATAGCAGATAAACACTTCTCAAAATTTATTGATGTTTGAAACGTAAATATCATTATATTTTAAAAGTTATGAATTGGGATGAGTTTTTGCAATAGCAGTTACAAATTATGGCAAAGGACCTACCATCATTAACCCAATAACATCGGGTCATTTATTCTAGTAAAATAATAAAGATATAAGAACATTTTTAAAAGAATGTTAAACTGATATCTTTTACTTATAAAATACCCCACTTTTTAAAAAATAATTAGCCACCTAAACAGTTTGTTAGATACATGTTTATGTATTTCAATTTCATATTTACAATGTAAATAAATACATGCTGACCAAAAAAAAAAACAACTTAGTGTAACACATTGGGCTCATTACGCAAAGGGAGATAGCTCAACTAAAACTACTACTGTTTAAGTAACTCTTCTTTGTCTCGCATTTCCGAATGAAATGGTAATATAAGGGGAAAGTGTTAATTAAATCGTTTGTAAGTGGATTTTGATCTAGTTTATGGATAAAAAATTGAAAAATGCTTTCAATTAGAAGCAACTCAAGATATGAGAACTGAACTTGCATCGGCCTCATACAGGCCGAGTAGTAGCATGACATTTGCCACTCTTCGGTGTTGAGCCCCCTGCATTCAAAGTTGGCAGTTAATTTTCCCTTTTCCAAATTTGGGCCCCTTAAATATCTGAGACCCAACGCAGCCGCAGGGTTTTCAGGGCCTATCCGACGGCTTTGTGTACAGAGTTTTTGTGCGTTCATACAAGGTGATGTCCTTAAATGCCTTAATGAACTAGATCTACATTTTATTTAAAAAATTCCTACATGCTTAATTATAAGCTTCAGAACTCCCACCCGCCCACTCCAGATCAGGGTTCCTGGACCAGCAATAGAGACACTGTAAATTCAGTGTAAAGGAATAGTTCTAAATCTAGTGCGTACACTCTGCATAGTGCAGCACAGACGACGCATATCTGGGAATTCACACCCGTCCCTCCCCTGACCCTCTTTTAAAAACGTAGTTAAATAGAAATATAATGTTCTGTTCAGACACCATACTTTTTATATACTGGAATAATGTATTGGCAATATAGGAGTTTAAGAAACATTTTTTCCCAAAACAATAGCCTATATGACGTCACATAGAGTTTTGTGAACGTAAGTATTGAAGTGGGAGAAATAAAGATAAAGAACTGGTTAAAAGGGACAGAGTTTCTATTTTGTAGCTAGCGCGTCTAAAAATAGAGCTTGTTTCCACCGTACTCTCAAACTCACTACTTACCTGTACAGCCATAGTGCACTGGCACGATGAGCAGGGAGCAGGGCTTTGACCGTGAACTTCACATCTGAGAGTGTGCTGTAGTAAGAGCCAGCAATCACTTTGCCATGACTTTGTGAAACATGTGTACATGAAAAACATTTACATCACATCTCTAAACTTAAACTTTTCAAAGTAAGTAGCTGATAATCGCAGTAACAATGTTCGTTTGATGCATTAAGAGTGTAATGAAGGCCTTCATGGTGGCTTATAATTTAAGTTCATTGTAATGCCATTATTAACTACGTGTTTGCTTTCAATACACTGCCCCACTTGTATTAGAAGGTAAATTACATGATCACAATTTCCCTATTTCTGCTTAGGTGAGAAGCCTGGCATTAAGTCCTTACGTTATGAAAACTGTGTGACCAACTTTGTTAACATAACTGGCGCAATCATAAATGGTTCTAACATATTTTCGATTCTGGCATTTAATGTCTGTAGTCAATGTTGGGACCTTTGAATGACGGTGACAGAGGGCTGGGGTCAGCAGGACCATCTTTCCAGGGTCTCACATTGACAGGGACATCACACTGACATAAACAGTAGACAGTCATTGGCTGGGCCTCTCAGTGACAGAGGGTTTCGTTGGCAGGACCATCTTTCCGGTGCCTCACATTGACAGGGACTTCACACTGACACAAATCTTAGATTGAAATATTTCTTTGTTATTGTGCATGCACATCCAGTGGCTTAAAGTCATAAGTAAATTTCAGTGTTTTTTATGTTGAAGTCAGTAATTTGAAGTTTAGTTAAAACTTTGGTGTCTTCAATTCAATTTATATACATAAATAATTTATTATCTGTGACATCCAGTCAATGATGCCAAAACTCACACCCTTCAACTTAAAAGGCAGTTGTGAATTTGTCATTATACTGTGGTAAGGGTATGATAAATCAAAAGGGGGCCTAAAAAATAATTAAAATTGTGATCCTGTATTCACTTGACCCATGAAATGACCAGAACATTTTTGTTACTGTTTCAGAAAAACCATGTTCAAATTACAGGAGTAAATATTCTGGAATCAAATGTATTTTATTTTCTCATTCTACTTATAAGGATTGTAAGGAAAACATTTTTCATTCTCTATTTTTCCATTGTTTGGGAGTGATGTGTGGGGGAGGGGGGTCCCTTATTTACCAACATGTTTATACTATTTTAATAAAGTCTTAATTTCAATCAATTTACATTGTTCAGCATCAAATTTTAGGCTAAAGATGGCAACCAACATTGAACAATTGAAGACTGATGCAGAAGAATTGTTGAAATCTGGCAACTTCCCTGATGCTGTGATTAAGTACTCTCAACTGTTGCAGGCTGACCCCAAGAATTGTGTAAAGTGAGTTATATTATTATAATCTATGTAAAGAGAGAGATAGAGAATAGATGAGTGGAAGGATGTTATCAGTAAAACAAGTTAGTCTTAAATACATGGTGATCTTGGATCTAATAAATATTATATCAAAGGGTTAGCAAATTAATATAGCCAGCTCAATGTGCATTTCAACAAATGAAGTATCACCAAAGACTACTAAAGAGTCTAAAGTCTAGGCCTACCTTTTGTAAGATGTTAGTTGGACTCAGAAACAACTTTCCAACCAGATTTTCTAAATAAGCAAAGGTTACCTCGTGACATGGTTTGAATTGAACTGTTAAATAAATAAAATTTCAATCTAATAGCAAACAAAATATTTTCACATTTTCTTATGATTATCTATGTTGTTTTCAGAAAACATACCAAAGTATTTTTTTTAAACATCAGATTATTTTAGAGGGTTTTAAAATGACTTCATATAAATGGCTAAAAAGCAGTTTTAAAATGACCTTAGGATAAATGGCTAAAAAACACTTTCTCTTACTTGTTTTGACTGTTGTGACAAATCTTTCTTTTTAAATATCTGATTTATTTCAAATATGCACATCATAAACTTCAGAGTTCTATGTGAACGAGCTAAATGTTACATTGAGCTGGGGGATTGGAGCAAAGCACTAGAGGATGGAAGGATGGCTCTTGATAATGAGAAAAAGAATCCAGAAGATGGAAGCATGGAGCAGACATCTAAGAGTAAAATTATTGAAGCATCTATACTTTGTGGAAAGGTAATAATTATCTTATCTATATGTTTCTTAAATTTTTCTTACATGATCTGTTTCATTTTAAATACCTAATCCTGTGGGTATGGGAAAGCAAGGATTTAACACAAAGTTTAATTTTTTTTAACAACTGACACTGGTCAACTATATTTCACATGGATTAGCAGTGTCAGTCAAGTAATTTATTTCTTTGATAACCTTTGTTTTTAAATTTAGGCCTGCTCACAACTTGGTCTTTTCATTGAGTCCCTTGGATATTTCAAAGAGGGCTTAAAAGTTGACCCTAAAAATCAAGTCATCACAGAGGAGTTGAAAAAATTACAAAATGTCATCCTGAAGGTAAAACCCATTTTCGAAAATCATATTACTTTTAATTTCCCCCATTTTTATGTGCACCAACATAAGATATGAAAAGTAATAAGTGTGATGAAAGATCATGTAAGACAGCTTGTCAGAATATGTTCATCTTGAAATGTGTACATCCATAGTAATTAATGTATTGTGTACAGGGTCACTCCTGTAAGATTAATTATATTAATAAATACACTCACAGATTGATAAATCATGAAAAATGCATCTAAACAAATTTCATAAATGTAAATTTAGGTTGGTTTGTGATGTTAACTTGATAATTTTTAACAGGAGCAGCAAGAACATTCAGAGACTCAAGACTGCACTTATTCAGCTGTGTCTCTCTGCTCACAAAGTGTGTATCCTGGTGATGACCAGCTGCTGAACATGGAGAAAGAAATTTTGTCCATCAAGTACAAAATACTGGATGATGATTATTACAAAATGGACAAGAATACACACATAATGGTAAGTTTAGATATTTCTAGGTTCTTACTTATTTTATATCGCAAATATATATTGTATTAAATCTAGAAACTTTGTATTATTTTATGCTAAATTTTTTGCTTTTGTTACAGAAAGACCCCCAGCTTGAGGCCCAGTTAGTACAGGCAGCTTATGAATGTTTATCGTCAGATCAACTTAATGATTCCCTCACTTTAATATCTAAGGCTGTGAGCATGGATCCAGGCAATGTATTCTACAGAACATTCAGGGCCCAGGTTTGAGACTGCCTATATACAAAAAAGTTCACTAACATGTTTACTGAATACTTAATAATATTGTCTGTACAGATGGAGCTTTTTCTTTAGGAGCAAACCATAAATGATGTCACACTATTTCAGCAGATTTTTTTTACCCCGCTCCCTCACAAATTAATAGTCACAAAATTTAGACTACCCCACTGCACATCATCACACACAAATTAATAGTCACAAAATTTAGACTACCCCACTGCACATCATCACAAATTCATGACCCCCCCCCCATCATTTATGATATCCCCTTATGTGCTATTAGTTTTAAAAGTAGTTAATTCTCTCCAGTTAGCTTGTAAAGTGATAGTTTCCATTGGACACCTCATTGTATATTTTTATTTGGCATTATTTATTTCATTTATGTCACCATTAAAAATTACATGAAAGAAAATTAAATGTTTTTAAAATGAGATAAAAGAAACTGATAAATATTTCTTGTTTTAATAAACCAATTAATGATCTCAAATATAAGATTAGACTACCCCACTTTGCACATATGTACAGGAATTTTTTAAAATTCAGAAAATGGTTTAAAAAATGAACAATCAATGATCATGTTTGTTTTTGTTTTTTTATATTTGTACAGGGCCAAGAATGACACTGCCAGCAGTTTCTTATTTGTTAGAAAGAATTTTGTCCTGTTACGTTATATCATGTTATCTGATTTAAATCCCATTCAATCCTAGGTCTACTTTAATTTAAAGCTGTGGCACAAAGTCATTCAGGATTATTGGATCATCCCAAAAGCTTTGAGAAAACCAGATGTGTGGAAACAAGGAGGTTACTTCATCTTTGGTTTTGTAGAAGAGCATAATTTATTTTACTTATTTATTTAATAATTTGTCATTCTTGTTAGCTATTTCAATTTTTTTTAAATGCCAATGGTACAACAATAATGCTAAATCAAAATTCAAGTTCATCTTGAAATAACTACAGATGTTTCAGTTATTACCCTGGGTAGAGACATAGTGCTAAACACTGATCCAAGCTATTAGGATAGCTGAGACCGCAGTTGCCCCCTAGTAATTGCAATGCTCAAAGATTTAGCTATCCATCTGAAAATAATTACCTTTACTCGTTTGTTTAGGCAAAGCTTTAATGGAACTGTGGCTTCCAGTTTTGGCGGAATTTTGGCTCCGCAAAGCTACTCAACTTACAGGAGGAAAAGATGAAGAAGCTGCTATTCTTTTTCAAAAAGTTAGGGTCAAAAGACTTTATGACCCTCTTACAGAAGATCAACCTATCAAAATTGATTTCACTCAGTTTGGCAGAGCTGTATTTGCAAAGAGTAAGTCACCAGCACCATTTTGCAATCAATCCTTTTTTCCCCTTCAGAATTGTGTTCTTTCTTAAATATTCTTTCCAATATTTTTGTGTAGTTAAAATTCATCACTAAGTCCAACACATGATATGTATGAAAAGTAAAATTACATTTTTTTTAGCTACTGATATCCAAAACATGTTTAATTTAATTTTTTTCAGTTTGAATTATAGTCCAAAGAATTGATTCATTCAAAATATATTTTTAAAAAGTAGTGCTTTATTTGATTTGCACTACTATCAGTTTGTGGTGCAAATAAATAATTCACTAGCACTATAAAAGTTGCCTTTGGTTTACATGTTAATAGGGAAAAAACACAATCAAATACAAATTCTGTCATATAATGTCAAAAACCTTTTTAATTAGCCAACTCTTTCATGATTTTCGCAGGGGGGAATTGTTTCAACCTTGACCTCATGACTGACCATCAGCTAGGCCTACTTTGATATCTCTTCAGTTTTAAAAGTTATTAAGGACAGAATGGGTTTTATGTAAGGTAGAGAATTTTATCCCAGGGTTTGGACAGGAAATCCTATGAAAATGGGAAGAACTAGCACCTAACTTTTTTTCCTGCTATTTAAAAAGCTGGACTATTGACCCAAGCCACTAAAAATCTGCTCTTGCTCATTATTACAGAAGACATAGCGAAAGGTGAGACAGTGATGACTGACATACCAATGGTGATGGCGCAGTCTCTTGGCTCCAGACACATACCAGCTTGCTTTAACTGTGCTGTTTCTCTGATTACTCCCCAAGTTTACTTCAAGGAGAAGTAAGAAAAATTAAGCTTTTTTCCCTTAATTTAGCATAATATAATGGAATATAAAAATAATAAAAATCCCTATTAAAGAGTCTATAGCTTATGCGTCTTGTTGGAGAATTTTTTTACTTTATGAATTAGTTAAATCATCCTTTTTTTTAATTAGTCAAATAATTTTGTAAATACTAAAGCTTAAAAATCCCAGGTGTTGCGGAATGATATTTACTAAAGTGCTTTCCGATTCTTTATACAAATAAAAATTTGCAAGATTATTAATGATTAAGTTCATTTTTAAGCACATTTTTGCCTTTGAAAAGTAGTCCATTTCAATGAAAGTTTAGCTCAAAATAAATTACTAGGACTTAACCAGGTGCAGTTTTTTTTTAAACGGGTCAAGGTATTTTGAGAAAATACCCTATGGGTCCAAGCAGTAGTGGTTAACGGTACAAGCTCCTCCTTTGTGAATGTGAAGTCAAGGGTCCCCCAGGGATCAGCGTTAGGCCCCTGTTTGTTCCTAGCATACATAAATGGCCTACCCAAGAAACTGACATCCCAAGCAAGACTGTTCGCAGCGACACAGCGGTGTATAGGACGATTGCCAACAGATCTGACCAGGACTAGCTACAACAGGATCTCAATCGGTTAGCTGAGTGGGAGATGAGCTGGGATATGGAATTTCACCCTGCCAAGTGCCAGACACTATCAGTCTCTAGAAGTTGTACTCCTGTACACTACCAATACGAACTGCAAGGCCATATACTTGAGAGAGTTTCCTCAGTAAAGTTCTTGGGTGTTACATTCAAAGAGAGGTCAGCTGGGACGAGCATATTAACAATGTGTGTAACCAAGCAAAAGATTGGCAACTCCTGTGTAAAAGAAAGAGCATAAAAAGCCTTTGTCCGTCCGATTTTAGATTATGCATCTTCAGTCTGGGACCCATTTACCCAGAAGAGCATTGACAGGTTGGAGGCGAACAAGCAACGGGCGGCTCGCTTTGTCTTGAACCGATACAGGAATACCTCTAGTGTTGGAAGTATGCTGGAAACACTAGGCTGGTCACCATAGGAGGAACGACGACGATAATCCAGGCTCTCCATGATGTACAAAATAAATAATGGGCTGGTCCACTGTTCCAGTATTAAACAGAAACTCGTCCCTCTTCCCCATAGACTGCGATGAGGCCATGACAGGCAATTGCGGCTCATACCAGCAAGAACCCAGTATAGGAATTGCTCATTCCTGCCCAAGACAATCAGGGACTGGAACAAGCTTTCAAAAGAAACAGTTGAGGTGACAACACTAGACACATTTGCGTCCATTGCCTCAGGCCTTCCAACTCCCATTGCATGATTCCTTCACAAAGTAGCACTTGTAATCATTGAAATATCCTCATCAGCACCAGGCACAGACACATTGCAAATCCCCTCTACATGCATAGGAGCCAAAATGATCAATATATTGATCGTGGGCCCTTAATATATAGAAGAAGAAGTGTTACAAAAAAAGAGCTCACTTCTCATTTTCTATAATATATGCTGGCCTTTAAACAATAGGCCTACAGGCAGTCCTACACCCTACCTGCCAACTGTTAAACAATAGGCTTACAGACAGTCCTACACCCTAACTATCCACCTTTATATAATAGTACTGAAGACAAGCCTACACCATACCCATCTTTTATTGATTAATTTGATAGTCACCTCCCCTGAATCAAAAGAACACCTGAGTTCAGACATCATGCAGAAAAGCTTGCTGCATGACAGCCTTTTTTTTTTCCACACACACTGTTAAAATAAAACATGTGGAGTTGGAGAATGGCCAGTTGTGAAGTGCAAGCAGGACAAACCAGAAGCAAAATATACAAAAGAGATAATTTCATAATTGTAACCTACTTGAGCATGCCTATAAACATTACTATTACACAATCTTTTCCCACAGACTTTTGATGATGGAAAGGGATCAACTCAACCTGATAGAAGAGTACTGGCCAAATGTGGCCGTTGAAGAGTGTCCTCATTGTGGAAAGGAAAAATACTGTAGCAAAATTTGTAGGAATGAGGTGCAGTACAGTTTTTTTAGAAGAAATAAACTGGATGCTGATACAAATAAAACAACAATCACAAAGATATTAATCTGTTGGAAATCAAAACAATAATTTACTTTTAATAAATTTTTTCAAAAAGTCCATTCAGTCTTGAACAGTCTAGAATAAAAGTTCTAGGGAGCTCTGGGAAGGATTCAAGTAGCAATAGCAGTATTAAATAAATGACAAATGTGTACTTTTCTATGTGGGATAAAAATCAGTGTATTGTGTGATTCTTTCCCTCTTAATTTTTCAGATGCTTTCATCAATTATTATTAATAGGTAATTAAAATCTTGTTTTAAACTAAACATTTTTTTAAAAGATGTAATGCGAAAAAGAATTCTAATTATTCAAAATACAGTATATTTAAAATAATTTAGCTTTTCATCTTTTGTTAGGCTTGGGACACGTATCATCGTATAGTCTGCCCCAGTGTTAACCCTGCAGCCAAACAGATTTATGACTTGTGTGAGAACAAAGGCTATGGTCACACGGCTGATGGGGTGTGGACTGAAATTTGGGGTGGTCATTACAGGTAAGACATTTAATCTACTAAAGATTGATTTCTTATTGATTTATTAGAGACACAAAAATTTGGGAAAGTAAAGCAGTAAGGTTAAGTTTTAATTAAAGGTCAAATACATCTCTGATGTAGCAGATATCATACCACAGGTTTGTCAAATGTTTAGCGGCTATATGCTAAACATCATGTGTTGAGCTTTTAAGAGCTGATCAACATCATGACTTATATTTCTCTGTGTATAAAAGAAAGTATGGTGTAATGATGAGATCAGTAGCATACACAATAAAATTCCAGGTAACTGCTAAATGAGATTGTTAAAAAAACACAAATGTGTTTGGTGCATAATATTTTCTTCTGTTGTATGTGATTATAGTCTCAATTTAAATATAATGCAATAAATTTGCAGTCTAAAAGGGGTGGGTCATTAGAATATAAATATAATTCATGGGCTTGAAAAAGTGTTAGGTTGCATATCTAGGGGGAGTCAGCACTAACGGGGATATTTATAAAGTGAGTTACTTGAATGTAACTTAAATAGAGGGGAAGTCCATGCATTGCCACCACCATTTTTGCCAAATCTCTGTGCTGCTACAGCCCATGTAGGGCTTTGGCCTGCCTCACCACTTCCTTCCACTCATGCTGATGCTTTTCTTTCCCAAGCATGGATTCTGAGCTTCTGTAGATCTTTTTCCACATCATCCCTCCATCTAAGCATAGGCCGGCCTTTGAACCGTTTTCCTCTGGGGTTTTGGTGGTGCACCCTCTTCACTCCTCTGTCAATTGGCATTCTTGCTAAGTGTCCAGCCCAGTGTAACCTGCCTTTTTTATTTCTGCTACTAAAAAGGGATCCTGATATAGACTATACAGTTCCTAGCTGATTTGTATACTCCATAATATACATCCTTTGTTGGTCCATATATTTTCTGAGAACTTTTATCTTACATGTGTTTAATAGATTTTCTGCCATTTTTGTTAGGGTCCAAGTTTCACTTGTGTATTTTACAGACCTATTACCGATTACAGTTTTATTTATAGTTTTGTTTTTCTTGTCATGTTTATACTTTTGAGTAATTTCTTAATACTAAAGTATGCCCAGTTTCCAGCCCATATTCTTTCCTTTATTTCTTTTAGTAATTTATTTCTGTCATTTATTAAGGATCCTAGGTATTTGAATTGATTTACGTTTTCAAAAGTGTGTTTTCTAATTTTAATGGTTTCATCAACCTTTTCTTCTGTTTTGTTTTTTGGTTGTTAACTTCCAGCCCTTTTGATAGTGATGCTTCTTCTAATTAAATAAAAGCTTTAGATATAACTTTACTACTTTTCCTTAACAGTGCTATGTCATCAGCATAGGCAAGATACAGAAGGGGTTGGTTGTAGAGACTCCCAATGGGTTATGAGCCTTGGATTTTCCTCAGAAAGTGTCCTGTTATTGTTCGTCGGGTGTCAATGTGTATTCTTCCTATAACTCTCTCAAATGTTAGGTTAAATAGCATACAAGACAGTAAGTCTCCTTGTCTTAGGCCTCATCTAATCTGAAATTCCCTTGAATATTCTCCCTGAACTTTGATTTTGCCATAACTAGTTTCATATAAAAACTGAGCTTCCATTTTATTACTGCTGGTATCTGACTAAAGAAATCTTAGATTATCTCATACTGCTTCTCTTTACAGAGAAGTGTTTAGCCTTTAACCCATGCTTTCATTTTAACAAGTTCCAAATGAGTATGCTTTCATTGTTTGTTTTTTTCCCTTGATGTAACAAGCCCTATGATCCTAGTTAAGCTGTGGTCAATTATTGCTTCACAAGTTCGAGACATGATGGAGAAAGACAAAGCCGCTGTTCCAACCATAGAGCACTGGGCCAGAGCTAAGGCGCCTTTCAGAAGGTATTCTTCCCATCTTCAAAATAGTTTTTTTAAAAGACTTATTTTTAGTGTAATAATTATCTAATAAATATTGCAATTCTTATGCAATGGACACCTTTGATTTTTAGCCAATAAATTTCTATTGCATTAGCATTACCATTCCCCCAACCATTGCACAGATGCAAGTATATGGATGCAACAACGAACACTACCATACGAGAACCAGATATAAACTCTACTTATAAATGGACAATTAAGATATATTTATGTGCTTAAATAATTGTATGACCCTTTGAAAAATTAATATTCATATTTTCATTATACATTTTCTTATTAAAATATTCATCCGTTTTCTTTTTTTTTTTTTTTCTTTTTTTTTTAAAATAAACTTTTTAAATCCTTTTTTAATATTTTTTGCCTTTGGCACGATTTCGGCATTCAAACGTTTGCCTCACCTTTTGCCTGTGTTCCAGTCTGTGTTTGTTTTTCTTTTTACATTTTCTTTTTAAATTATTTTTCTTTTTTTTTTTTTTTTTTTTCTTTTTTTTTTAAAATAAACTTTTTACATCCATTTTACAGATTTATTGCCTATGGCACGATTCCGGCAATCAAACGTTTGCCTCACATGTTGCCTGTGTTCCAGTCTGTGTTTGCCAACTGTGGAGGAGGACTGACTTATAATATTACAGAGGAGGAGTTTAATGGTCGCTATTATCAGGCTGCTTGCAATTTGCAATGTTTCTCCCCATCCATTACACCATATCATAGATTTATGGATAACATCAAAGAAGATATGCGGGCCGTAGGTTTTTAGAGTAATATTATAAGAAATTATTCATTTAGCATAAGCTTTTTAAAAAAATCATCCCTTTTTTCTATAATATGCATGTGTACTAATAGTATGACTTAGGGGCCATCCATAAATGACATCATGCAAATTTCACCCCCACTCCCCATCATCACAAATCGTCACAAAACATTAGACCCCACTTCCAATATAACATCACAAACCTCTGCACCCCCTCTACCCAATACAAATGCCTCTGTCCTCTACTGTTCTTTACAAGCCCTTACAAAAATCACCTCCCATGGATATCAAATCACTGCACCTGTGTCAGAAACATTTCCCTAGAACAGTGGTTCTTAAACATGGTGGTGCGGAAGATGGATAATATATAAATTTCATTTGCTGCTATCGCTAGTTGTTTTTACCTTTAAAAATAAAATCAGTTTTTATGCATTTTGAAGAGCAGCAGTAAATGTTTTTTCTGGTGAATTTTGTTTGTGCCTTACTTGTATTGTTTTTTTTTCTCTTGAATCTAGAAAGTTAATTAAACAAATAAAACAATATATAATATTTAATTATTTTCATTAAAAAAATGTTATTCCTATTCAAATTGTAGGGGAGTGGGGAGGATTGCAGGAAATGTTTAGAATTTGAGAGAAGATGCAGCACTGCATCTAAGAATATCTGGCACAGAACATTTACTAACCCCCCCCCCCCTTTCCCAGTTATATATCGTTCCATCTCACTTCCCACCCAATTCTATGAATCCCATCTCCACATTTTGACATAAATTCTCACGACTGTCACTACACCCAGATTCTCCCCCTCTGTAGCATCCTGTAAGTTGATAAGATGCCATTTCTTGGACCTCTCATACCTGTACTGATTTTCTGAGTGATCGTAGTTTAAAAATAAAATAATTATAATTTTCTTATAAAAGAATAATGTTAAAAAAGTCTGTGATTTAGTGTTATTAAGTGCATTCTTTTTACTATAATGTTCCATTTTTTTTTGGTGACATTACGTTGCTTTAACCCCCCCTCCCCCTCATCACATATCATCACAAAAATGTAACCCCACTCCCCCATAGACTCATGACATCATTTATGCATGACCCCTGGTTTGGAATTTTAAATATACATTTTTTTAACTTTACGAAGTTGATAATATTCATGAGCAACAGCTTGCAGGCATAAAATTTAATTTGTCACTTTTCCCCTGCTACTATGGTTTCATTCATGTTTGATCTACATCTAGGTTGGCATGATCAAATACTTGTCAGACAGGCCACCTGAAGCTCAGTTTGCTGCAATGTGTCCTCTCCATGCCTGCAGCAACCACTCTTGCTTCAATAATTCTGAAGTGTGTGACCTTGACATCAATGGGAGACCAGGAATCCAGATGATTGCACGAAGGGATATTAAGTACTGTGACTTTCAAAAGTGTTTATGTAAAATGTTAATTAATTGTGGAAACAATACACCAAGGGGAATGCAATCAATCAGAACATCTTAATTATTGAAATTATATATTCATTCAATTAATATATTAATAATTTGGTTACATGAGATACAGTACTTCAATTTATTTAAGTCCTCCATCATTATAATTCATTACTTTAAAAAATTGAAGTTTTCATGGTTGATGTTTCTCCTATTTTCTTGCTCATTTCAGAAAAGGTGAAGAGATTTTGATTACTTATATTGATACATCAATGCCCAAACTTCTGAGAAAAGCTTGGCTTTATAAGTCTTTCAACTTCTGGTGCTCCTGCCAACGTTGCCAGTTTGAAGGAGAGCAGCCAAACGAATGCACCAACTGCCACATCAAAGCACCAGAGGGGAAGAATTTCTCAGCATGTGGCAAATGTAAGCGAGCATGGTACTGTGGTGTAACTTGCCAGAAAGACGCCTGGAAAAAAGGCCATAAAATAATTTGCCTGACAGATCACTCACAGGTAAATAGTCCTGAAGGCTACACACCAAAATAGTTTTATTATAGCTGTGATTGATGGTGTTGTTTTGGTCTAAGATTTGTTAAAAATTCAATCCATCAAGAAGTGCAACTCAGCTGAGAACTCAAAGGTATTTGAAGCCTGTTCCACCGTGGATGGAAATAGTCTCATAGAACACAATGTCAGAAACTTAGAAACACTTCAAATGTTGATAATGTTAAATTATTTAATGGAACAGGCTTTCACATTTCTTTGAACTTGTTTTGAATATGCATTGATCATTGAAGCAAAGCTTTACAATAGATAATAGTTGATGAAATATGTGTGCTATTGTATATGATTAGTGGTACACCAAATGGGACTATAGAACTCCTTACATGTACTTTGTTTGTAGATTACTTGTACATTAAAAAAAATCTTTTAATAACTTGATAATATGACTTTTGATATTTGTTGAAATATAAGGGATTAGAGGAAGTTATTTAGAGTGAACCTTTTAGTGTACCATTATTCATTTTTTTTTTCAGTACTTTATGTAGCAGATGTAAAACCTTTTTTAAAAAAAGAAATATACATTTATGATATCTAACGTGCTAAAATTAATATGGCATTTAGGTAAAAAATATTGATTTAAACTAAGCAATACAAGATATATATCTTTTTTAAAAAGGTTTTACACTATAGAGCACTTCAAATAAGTGTGCTTTTGCTAAGTGAGTAGAGAGTATTACTGTTTTGCCACCAACACAGACACACTGCTAAAGTTTGCTTAATTAATGCAGTCTCTTCTATCCAAGCCACTTCTAAGATAAATTTCTTCGTAAGCAAATAAAGTGTACAAGTTATTTATGATATTCATGTTTGTGGGGAGAAAATCAATACAAACTTGAATCCTCTTTCTTCTCTGGCATTTTTATTGATTATATTTTTTGTTATTAATATCCATGTTTACAGCTGTAAATGTTTACAAGTTTTTATCTAAGATGGATAAAAATTGTTGTCAGGAGTTGTTAAATATACACTTCAACTTGGTTTAAAAAATAAGAAATGATGTAATGTTTGATTTAATAATTAGATGAGACTTAAATGCCATTCATCATAAGTAAAAAGGTAGCCTACATAGTGTAATTAATGGTACAACTTTCTTGACAATGGAATATTTTTGTAAAAAAAAAAAGAAGCAGTTAACAATGTGTAGAATGTAGGCTAGATTTATTATTTTGTTCATTCAAACTCCATAAAATATGTTCCTCTACTTGACATCTAACAAAACAACCAGAAATTGTTGACACCTAACGAAACAGCCAGCAATACTTACACCTAACAAAACCAGAAATAATTGACACCTAACAAAACAACCAGAAATACTTACACCTAACAAAACAACAAGAAATAGTTGACACCTAGCAAAAAAACCAGTAATAGTTGACACCTAACAAAACAACAAGAAATAGTTGACACCTAACAAAAAAAACAGAAATAGTTGACACCTAACAAAACAACAAGAAATAGTTGACACCTAACAAAAAAAACAGTAATAGTTGACACCTAACAAAACAACCAGAAAAAATTGACACTTAACAAAACAACAAGAAATAGTTGACACCTAACAAAAAAAACAGAAATAGTTGACACCTAACAAAACAACTAGAAGTTGTTAAAACCCAACAAAGGAGTGCACACTTTCAACAATTTTATTGATGAAAATGGTGGTTTTAAATTATGCTATGTTTTGTCTTTGTGTGCTTTTTATTGTGCATATTAATGTTATTTTTGTATATTTTCACAGACAAGACCCCCTGTGTGATTTCCTTCTGTGCAATCTTCCCAACCATGACTGTGTGATTGACCTACTGTGTGCCAACCCCAGTTTAGTTTTGCTCAAATCCTCCCCATTACCTCTTAGTTAGTTTCACCTACCCATTTACCCCCCACATTCCCTACCCAAGTGTAAATACCCTATTAACATGACTTAAAAGCTCAAATTTCTTTGGGATCTCAAAGAGATTTATTTGCGCAACTAGCGGAACAGATTTGTATATATGGATTACAATATTTAAGTTTCTTACTTAAAGATCTCCATCACATAAAGCAGAAACTTGCATGAACTTTAATTTCACTAAATGTTCTAAAGTCTTGATAATCCATCCTTGAAAGAAATTGTCACTGCTCATAAACAAGTGCATCTTGTAAATAATTATTAAAAGAAAGACTTTAGATGGATTTTAATTACATTTTTTAAAAAAAACAACTGATATCCACAGAAGAAATCAAGGCAAACTATTCAGAATTTATACAAAACTAAAAGTTTAGCCATTAAAATGATAAATACAATTTAGAAATAGAAAAATGGAGATTTAGATCTAGTGTTTAACAAAAAATGTATTCAGAATTATTTTGTAGATTGCCCACACACACAAATGGTGCAAACATTAAACATGTTGAAACAAATTGTAAGAGGTCATAATTATTAACTAATCAAATACATAGACCATGACTTGATTAATAATTAGGTATATTCATTTTTAGTAATATATCTAACTATCTGAAACCGTCGTGTTAATTTTCATTTCTTCCCAAAGGTCAATCTAATGCACTAATAATTAATTGCCCTTATTTCCTTTTTTTTAAAAAAAAGAAGAATCTTAGGTCTTTGCTTTATTTTGCATGTATTTTTATTGAAACGAGATGAAAACTTTTTCCTTGTTTGAAATAAAATTTGTTGACCTTTTATTAGGTGATAAATTATATTATACTTTTTTTTTTTGCAATGACAATCAGATCTGAATTGAACTTTTTGAAATCCTCAAATTTTTTAAAGACCGAGATTAGGTGTACACTCCAATAAGGAACAATCTTTAAATGTTGGCTTTTATGGTATGATGCCAGAAAGATAAAATTTATATACTCTTAGAAACATCATTAAAGAGGTTAACAAAGAAATTTGTATAATATGCAACCAGCACCATGAATGAATATTTTTTGAATTTGCACAAATTTAATGTGGTAATTCCTGCTTGCCATTCTCTTCAATATTTTTTAAAATGCATTTGAAACTAACAATTTTAATCGTCTTTATCTACACTGTAAAATATGCATCATTTTCATTCTTAAACTACTAACCCCATCCATTTTTAACTATTTCAATTAACATACTTCTGTCAAATAATTTCACAGATGCCATTGGGTAAATCATATAATTAATAGTATGGTGAGTTCCTAGCTGAAAAAATATGCATTCTGGACCAATGGAGCTTAATATAATTGAAGAAAGATGACTTTAAAAAAAATTTCAAAGCAGTTATCAGCAACTTTAGCTGTTGTATTATTTATTCTTTTTTTATATAACTATTATTTTTAAAATTAAAATGGTTAATTTGACAATCATATCAAAAGTAATAGTATGAAAACAGTAGTCAAGTTAATCTATCTTAAGATTTTTTCATCATCCGTCTCAAAAGTTGTATGAATCTGTGAAGGGGAAAGGTAAGAAAATTTACTGAAGGGATATTATTTAACCACTGATTAAGGCTATTGAAAAATGTTAAACTTAATTGTTAAAAACTTCCAGATTCTCTCTATCTATATATATATAGACCTACTCAGATAAATTTACATATTGCAGCATTCTCTTCATAATAGTATCGATTTCTCAAAGTTTTTATATTTTTAATGATTAAGTAGAAATACAGTATGAATTTTCCCTAATTCAGTTTTTCAGATTAAAAAAAAAAAATTCATTTATTTAGCATTGCTGCCAACATGAATCATTTGATAACATAAAAAAAAGAAGCCTACTAGGGATGGGTTTAGTTAAGATCAACTCTCTTACTAACTAACTTGTTTGGTAGTCAAAGTTTTTAGGTGTAAGTATTAAAATAACTCTACCTGAAAGTTTCAACTATTTATAAAAGTTTATCGAACTAGTTAATTTATTTAAATAAAGGAAATTATAATAACAAAAAGTGCTAAAAGCTTTGGATAAATTGCCTAACAAGCTATGGTAAGAAGAATTCCAATATATATTATGAACTCTGGCTAATGAAGAAATCACCATCCACCTCAGGAACAAATTAAGTTATCCAATCAGGAAATTAAGCAGATTTTTAGTGTAAAAAAACTATAACTTTCAAAAGGGATGTAATCAGTTTACTTTTTGAGATATTCTTGTAACATTACATTAAAGATAAAGATAAAAATTTAAAATTTTAATGAGAAATCGATCTTTGAAATAGCATCAGCTAGTTATTGGCTATATGTATTCTGATAAATTATTATGATTAGAAAATTGAATCAATTCACTAAAACAATTCCAAGTCCCAACTTTAATACAATTTGATATTTTTATACACAACAGCTGAAAGAGATATTGTAAATGCTGCAAAGATGAAGATTCTACGCCACAGTGTGGTGCCCAGAACCACTTCTGTCTACTTGGGGAAGTTGGCATATATATGTATCTTGTTATCTTTCCGAAAATCAAGAATGAAAATGCATTGGTGTAATTAAAAAATATATAAATGTATATAGCCTAAATATTACACTATAATGTATAGTGATTTACATAAAATTACAAGTTTCAGTTTAATATATAATTTGGAAATGTATGTTAAATTTGCTAAAAAGCATAAGTCAAAGTTTAACAAGGTATTTTTCAATAAGGGTAATCTTTGCATAATAGTATTTGCATTTTATAACTTATATCCCATTCCTGTGTTAACCTATTCCTAATTTTTTAAACCTTTTTTCATTCACAAATCCTAAATTTAAACAAAAATTCTTTCCATTGCATTTTCTTAGTATCCATTTCTCCTTCTAATAAATAATTGTTTTTATGATTCCCATAACAAACTAATACAAATTGAAATTGTGTAAATAGAATTCCAATTTATCCTATAGAATTATCTTTATTTCCCTCACCTTGTTCCTTTTTTTAAAATCTATGTATTTGTTATGTTGTTATTTTAAGACTTTAAACATGAATTAGAAACCTAATTTGTTTATATTTTTAAAAATTTTATTTTATGATATTTTTATTTCAGCTGATTGTCAGTTGGAACATTATTATTTTTTAATAAGTCACTTCCAAAACAAAGTTATTTATTTGTAATTTTTTTTTTTTTAAAGCATTCAAGAATTTTAATTCATTAGAATTATTTTTTGAGACTAAGAAAATTTAAAAAAAAATCATTTCTATTTTGAAAGTTTCTTAATAGGACTAGGTCTTTAGTTTTTCAAGTTCAAACTAATGACTTCTTTGTGGTCAGTGCAATAGATCGGTTCTCATTAAGATTTTACAGCTCTACTATGCTTTAGTGATTAACTCTTTTTTTTAAAAATGATGTCCCAATTGTTGTTACTTGGTTTAACTACTAATTTGTGCATTTACCCAAATACTGTTGGATTAACCTTCTCATTTATTCTATACAATTTATGGTGTATTAATTAATTTTCTTTTGTCATTTTTCACCATGTGAATGTAAGAGAAGAATACTAAGATATTTTACTCATTTTTCTGAGCAGCTATATTATAATGCATTACATTTTTTTTTAAAGTACCCATCCAAAATTGATCCTGTATGTATTTTAAGTGGTGCCATTTTTTTCAGCTGTTGGCAAGTGATTATTTATATAAAATATTTACATTTACGAAGGATTGGTTATTGTAACAGTAACATTCACATAACTTTTCTCCCATTGCTGTGAATAAAATTTTAAAACAAATGTCTAATTTTTTATATATTAAAGATTCTTATGGTGTTTTACAGAATATCCTTATGATTTTAGAATGACACTAATCATCTGTTGAAAGTGACAAGTCAGTAGCAACCAAACCATGTCCAATAGATAATTTGGAAACAATGTTGTATAATTTAACATGTCCCATATTAAAATAGGGAAGGTTGTACCAAATATTTGTTTTGGGACTAAATAGCTTATAATATTCAGCTGAATGTTATGTTGAAGTTGTACAGGAATGGATCCAATAATATATATTCAGTAACTGGTCAACATTCAGTAGAAATCAGAATTGAAAACTCTACATACATAACTAGCTTATAGTGATACTTCAAAAGATGTTGGTGTTATTTTTATTAATGCATTAGCACTTTGAATCATCGTTACCTTTACTGCTGCTTATATTTTTATAAGAAAATAATTTCTGAATGATCATAGGAAATGTTCCCTTTCAGCTGCACATGTGTACATTAAACATGCATACACAAATCCACAAAGTGATGCACAAATACACAAAAGAAATTATTTAGCTGGGGGTAGTAACTTTCAGTTTAATAAAAAAAAATTGAAATCCTATCTCATAACAAAATAAAATTGCATAAAAACAATAAGATGGCACAACATGTTTTTTATGGTGTGTGAAATACGAGGAGACTTTGGATGTGGTACACACCTAATCCTATTCAGCCATTTGAATTTAAACACAGCATTAGCCTAAATAATATAACACTGACACTTTTAAGGTTTTTAACAGTCCATCTCTACCAAGTGTAGAAGTGTAGAGCCTTTGCTGTCGTCTGATGTCTGACTCTGGACCAGACAAACCTGACAAGTTACATCTCGGTTGATCACCTGCTCTACATCATAGCCCTGAAAGTTAAAAAAAAGGTCAGGTAAAATTCAAACATATTTTAGAATAAACAATGAAGGATTTTTTTTTTTTACATGCAAGCTTTAATTGCAAAATTAACAATAATTTCTAACAGAAATTCTTTAAAGAAGTTGATTTTGTGAAAGGTCAGGTTGTTCCAGTAAATAGTTTTAATATAATGAAGGAATATTATTAATGTATATTCTTTAGCTAGATTAATGTTATAATCAATGGGCAAAATGTAATAATAATCTCAAATTTACCTCTTCATCTGCCTCACTGGGCAATATGGATTCTATAGTTCTCTGTGACAACTGTTTGTTAAAAATAGTGAAATAAAAAAAAATAATAATATAAAATACATTTATAGTTTTGAAGCAAATGTTTAATTAGCTGTGAAATCTCAATGTAATAAGCATTATATACATGACATAACTACTAAATGTAACATCTCAAACAACTTACATCAATTTTTAGTAAAACATTGGGAGGGAGCATTGTACGGCCAATGTAAACCTCCATTCTCATCTTCATTTTTGGAGAAGTCACTTGTCTCTGGCAAATGGTGCAGTAAATGAATCTGTTTATAGACAAAAGTCATCATTTAATCACATAAGGTGTAGCTCTTGCTGCAGCCTTACAAAACACAGTAAAAACATGTACTGCTACTTCACTAAGAAAAAAAAAAATTAAGCCCACTAAAAATTGTGGTCCCATCAAGAATGCTTCTGTATCACTCAAGATTACTGTAGAGACTGTTCCATTTCTTAACTGTCTGCCAGATCAACGTTGCTGGACATTCCCCAATCAGTTCAAACTTTGCCACAGCATGGAAGTTTACACCCTCATCATGCAGTGTAGCCATGTCACAGTTTCACCATACTCGTTGTTGTTGATGATGGCCATGTGGAATGTTTGCTGGACGTACTTGACATTCCCCAATCAGTTCAAGCTTTGCCACAGCATGGAAGTTTACACCCTCATCATGCAGTGTAGCCATGTCACAGTTTCACCATACTCGTTGTTGTTGATGATGGCCATGTGGAATGTTTGCTGGACGTACTTGACATTCCCCAATCAGTTCAAACTTTGCCACAGCATGGAAGTTTACACCCTCATCATGCAGTGTAGCCATGTCACAGTTTCACCATACCACATTATAAATCCGAGAGCAAACATGTTTTCATGTCTAACCATGTCACAATTAGACTATGTATTTTTTTAAAGGGCTTAACCGACCGCAATTTTTTTACTCTGTGTATTATGAGAAAGTACCCGGTGGGTCCAAGTATTACAAAAAAAAGAGTTAACTTCTGATTTTTTACGATATATGCCGGCCTTCAACCAGCCTAAGCACAGTCCTATATCCTACCTGTCGGCATTTAAACAATAGGTCTACAGACAGTCCTACACCCTTTAAATGTTTCGCTGCAGCGCAACTCACAGTACGTTCATCCGCTGCTCTAAAAAGCACGGACCAACGCACTCTGCTCATGTTGCTATTTTTTTTTTGTTGCTATTTCTGGGTTACACTTTTTAAGAGCTATTTTTTAATAAGACTTTTACATAGAAGAGTGGTACTTCACTGTTTATAAGCGAAACCAAGGTTTATTTGTAATCATTTGAAGCATTATTTTATTGATATTCTTCGCTATTTTTTTTCTATATATTAATACTGTTGCTATGGCTACCCTCGGCTCTAGTAGGTGAGTATGTATATAAGATGATTAACAGCTCAAAAAGGTTAGGAATTGTTTTATACTATTTCTTTGATAGTGAAGATGATTTATATTTATATCCATCGCATGATTCCGATAGTAGTAGTTTTAGAGGATATGAGTTTTAGAAGTGAAGATGATGTATGGGGAAGAATGGTTTTGCATATCATGTTTTCACATTTTATGGTTCTTTTCTGTTACTTATCTTAATTAAACTGAAGAAATAAGATTACAAACAGATAGTCCATTCAATTATCTTTCATTTGATACCAAGTTAAATCTTATAAACCAAACAATAATATTTTAAATATTTTTTAATAAACCCAACCTCTCACTCTTTTTTGCTCTTTAAAGAAAATGTACATTTATGCGATAAAAAAATTCCACAGCCAAAGAGCTAAACAATAGACCGTCCTACACCCTACCTACTGGCCTTTAATGATTAATATAATAGTCGCCTCCACATTATAAAAAATTAAATGTAACTATTGACCTGAGTTCAACTATCATGCATGAGGCTCACTGCGTGACATAATTTTTTATTTTTTCACTCAGTACTATTGATATGAAACATATGGAGTTGGGAGAAAGGTGGTATTGAAGAGGAAGCAGGACATGCCAGAAGCAAAATGTATATAAGAGATGAGGATGTGTATATTTATTTACCCTGCTTCCTCTGATGTTGCCAGTTTGTCACTTCCACATTCCTCACATTCTTCCCATGAGTAGGCAGTGCTGTCATCAACACTCGATATCACACCTGTGGAAATCAAATCATAATTCCTGAAATTATTTATAAAATTCTCCGTTGAATAGAATGAGTAATTTCATCGGCATTAGTACAGCATAATTATTCTTTAAAAAATTTTTTAATTTCTACATATACCTTGAGCACTAACCAGATCCCCAGGCTGAGAACTTGGATTGACCAGTGGTAATCTGATCAAACATGATTTCACCCTGTCCAGTAAAGCCCTGCTGATTCTTGTTGCGACATCCCAGTCTTGCCATGACTGTTGGCTCAGCACTAGAGTAAAACTGTCACAGTACAGACAATCTGGTTATGGAACACAAGCAATGAAGCACATAATATTCAGTGTATTTTTGGACAAGTCCATTAAACATTTAAAATATAATTATTAGCTAATGTCGTACAACACATTCATTTGTACACCGGCTTATTATTATTTTTAGTTTGCATGTAGTTAAAAGATTAAGTTTCAGCAGAGCATACAGCTTTTACTCCCCTCTAATTTATGAGCATTTGAAATTATTTTCTTTACATATTTAATTGAATCAATAAATTTTTTTTTTGACATTGTAAGTTATCTCAAGTAACAAATCAGATCAGATGATGCTGGTGCAAGGAGTGTGTGTCTACTCAAAGTGTACCTTTTTTAACCAAGACATCCTTGAACAGAGCAACAGACACTTGACTTTCCAGAACACAGTCAGCCCCAACTTCCAATCGATGCAATGCAGTGTACCCAGCTTGATCGCAAGAGCCATCAAAAACATAAGCAGTTTGAGAACCACTTTGCTGTAAACAAAAAGAGATTTTTTTTAAAAACAAATCTTGAGTTATGTTAAGAACTATTTGTTAATGGAAATTAGGATAAGTGTTAACAATGGTGACATTACCCTCAAGTCTAATACAATCTGCTCCACAACTGGATTGGGGTGTTATATAATTTATCATTGCTTCTCAGGGTAGGGCTAAAAGCTTAGACCCCTGATAAACTATATGAAATAATTGAAATAGCATCACTGAAAAAAAAATTGTCATGCAATATTATTAAATTTAATTCTGTAAAAACTAAAAATTTGTATTTCTACATAAGTAACTGATTAGCCATATGGACATAATGCAGAGGGGAAAAAAAATTCTATAAATAACTGATGTATTTTAAAATTGATTTAAATTAAACAGAATCCACTAATACAGCTTTATTTTATCTTTCAATTTCATTTTAATGGACCAATTAAATAAAATTGTCATTTTATACAATATGATCTACACAATTAATTTGTATCACTTCTATTTATAATTGGGTCCATTAAGTGACAATTTTATTCTTTTTGTTGTATAAGAAAAGTTTTTTTTAAAAATGAATTTTGATTTGATAAACAATAAGTAGGCCTACTAATTGATATAATTTGATAAAAATTATACAGTAGACCTTGCTAGTTTTTATAGACAATAATGCAAACCTCATTCAGTCTTGAGTTGACAACAAATCTGGACAGAAATGTAATTCGGCTTCCAGAGTTTATCTAAGAAAGCAAAATAAAAGACTGTAAGCATTGCTTGACCACAAGAGTAATTTTTATATTTCGTATTTATTTTTTTTAAAAGAGCCATCAATTAATTTGTTTCAATTTGTAGGCCTTAAGACATTAGAGCTTTGAAGACGAGACTCAAATAGTAATTCACCCTGAACTTTTATTTAGCACTGCTCTTATGAAATACCTGAGGCAGCTGCTCCAAGGATATCACATCTATTGCTGGCATTTCTACCTTTTCAGCAACTTTCTCTATGACAAATTCACAATTCAAGCCTGTCGCAGATTCTAACACATAGGCAAAGTTGGGTGTTTTCAGGGGTCGCTATGAAAGTTAATGATAAACTATGAAGGAAGGGTACAAAGGACGCACAAATTGTTTACAACCGATTATTTAAACTTATCAGTTTCAGTTCTTAAATGTTGCTTTTAAATCTTCCTTTTTTTAATTTAATTATATTTTATCAGACTTTTAAATGTTTTTTTTTAAAATATTTTTTATAATTAGAAATTCGTAATTGCTTGAAAGTGTAATGGTAAAGCCATCTCTTCGAAATTAAAAAAATACTTTAAAAAAAAAAATTTGAAGCTTGATAACTTAACAGCTTGTTTAAAAAGGTGAAAAGTTATGTTACCAGCAGACAATCTGAAGCATCACTGCCACTCTGAGGAAACCGTTGAGTCCATGCAACATCTACAGCACTGAACAAAGATGGCTGTCTGGATTAAAGATAAATGGAAATTGTGTAAGATTTTGTTTGTAAGCCAAACTGCCTTTAGTACACGGCACACATTTGTATGAGTTCTCTAAGTCAAAGCACTTGATCATTCAAGTGGACAAGCAAGTCAAAGCACTAGATCATTCAAGTGGACAAGCAAGTCAAAGCACTAGATCATTCAAGTGGACAAGCAAGTCAAAGCACTTGATCATTCAAGTGGACAAGCAAGTCAAAGCACTTGATCATTCAAGTGGACAAGCAAGTCAAAGCACTTGATCATTCAAGTGGAAAAGCAAGTCAAAGCACTTGATCATTCAAGTGGACAAGCAAGCGAACTCCATTTTTTTGGCACCTCAAGATGGAATTTCAATACAATAGATATTCACACAGATTTAGAGACAAAAGCGAGATGATGTTATCTTTGTGATTAGCTAATGAAAGGCAAGTCATTTAAAACATATACTCACTTGTCTCTGTTGGTCCGTGAGCTCAAGGCCAGGCCAGAACAACAACAGCTCTTGCCTTCCAACTGCGTTACAGTCACTGTATTGACATGATCATCTGGCAATGTTGTGAATATAATAGTACCTGAGGAATCTTCCAGGAGAAGCTGGTGCCTTAAAAAAAAAATACATTTTAAAAGAATGTTAACAAATAATTCCTCTGGAAAAACTGTTTGGCATTTTGGACTGTATAAAAAAAAAAACATACTATCACAGCTTGAGAAAAAAAAATATCTTGCATAAATTCCATGCACAATAGCAAAAAACTTATTATCTAATATTGAAACTTATCTAATATTGAACATGTCAACATTTAACTGAGCTCAATTGACATGATACCTTCAGTTATATGGTAGAGCCATTTAATCATTTTTTTTTAAAAATTATCTCTGAAAACTTAACTGCTACAGTCATTTACTTTTGTATAGACACCTAATTTTCAATCCCATGCCAAGTTGGCTGCTACCTTCCAACTCTGGCTTACACCCCACCCCCCTCCCCCAGAATAGCTGCCTCACCGGGCCGAGTACATTTCACCTTGTTATTATAGTCAGAGCTGGAGCTAACCCCAGACCTATTCAACCCACTACCTCTTGTTGGAGAGACATTTAACATTACCACTGCAACACAGGGCCGACAGTAGAAAAGTAAAAAAAAAAAAAAATTTACCACAATAAATTATACTATCTTTTTAAAATGTTTCTTCCATGCTTTTGAAAGGAAGTTTAATGAGCAAGAGAGAACATTCATCCACAATACTTTCTTACCAAACATGGCATCACCTGATTTTTCTTGATTTTAAAACTCGATGTCTGAAAACTCTTAAAACAGTGGCAACAAAGGTTGGTAAACAAGCCCCATCAATGCGGTTGATTTCCATGCTTTCAAGCAGAGTTAACCTCTCTTGGATTATTACAAAAGATGGCCAGGTCAATCCTCCAATTGACAGCAACTTCACCGACGGATGTGGCAAAGCTGTTTCTGGTGTCTGAGAGGATGATGTTAAAATTATTAATACACCAATTGAAAGAGTTGTAAGAAATTAAAGACATGCATGCCAGTTTGTCAAAATAAGTCAATTAATTGAAATACGACTATGTTCATTGTTTCAAATCCAATAAAATTGTTACATGGCAATTATAATATACAAATGTTGACTGATTTTTCTTAACATCATTAAAGGGTATTCATTTCATTTACATTCAAAATTGTGTAGGATTGAATTATTTCTGTTCATTTCTACACTGACCTCCACTTGAATCGGCAAAAAAGAAAATTACTCTGCCACAGCCATAAAAAAAAAATCATTGAATTAACAGAGCATAACATGACATTCAAAAAATGTGTTTTACATCAGAAAGTCATTTTTTATGCTCTGTTAATTCAGTGATTTGAAAAATAATAATTTTAAAAAATGAATTATAAAAAAAAAATTTAAATCATAAATATCATTAATAAAAAATATTACCAATGACAAAAAAAAATCAAATCAAACCTGATTAAAAATATTTGGTGAAACTGGAAACTTTACTGCAGGACAGACTTTGTCCAACTGAGACTGGTCTTCAAGAGTAAGAAATGACAAACACAAAATATGAGGATTTTATGATTATCTTAAACACACAAGGACTCATCCCCTGTGTTTTAGTCATTTTTTTCTTTTCTTCAAACGACTGTACAATAATATAACAGGGAAATTTTATAAATTCTGGTGAGAAGTTCCCTTTTTGCGTACTGTATTTATTCCTTTGATATTTTACTTCAATGTCAAAGATATTTTATTATTTTATTTTTACTTGGAAGGATCAAATAATTCAGTTTTTAATATTGATTTATTTTTTGAGTTTCCAAAAACAATTGATGAATCTATCAGTTGCAATGTGTACATAAATTAATTACCATGTGAACAAGGACACTTCCATTTGGCCAACACAGTTACAGAGCTTTTTGCTTCACCAGGCAATTTAACAGTGTGGACAATCTTTGTTGAAGACTTTACGATTCTTACAAAATTTGTACATAGAAATGTTTTTTCTGCACCACTCTCATCTAGCTGTTGCCTGGAATTATTTTTGTAATTTACAGAAATTAACACTCTGTTATTCAATAAGCACAATCTAGAACAGGGGTTTCAAAACTTTTTGTTAAGTAGCATATCATAATAATTAATGTATAACATCAGCAAAATAAGTAATTATGGATGAGTTTATAGTTTCAAGAAATTTTGCACTAAATCCAATGTCCATCACAAATCTCATGGCACACTTCAAATTTAACTGTTCTAGCTTTTTGAGAATCACTGCCATGGTTTGAGAATCATTCCCCTGGTATTTACAGTAATCAAGTTTACCATATTTTAAATATGACATGACATGGCTCACCATGGAGGGAATATCTCAACAAAAACCCCTGCCTTCAGCAATAGTTTGTCCACAGTGTCAATGGAAAATATTGTCCTGCAAACTGAGCCGGCGTCCATGCCAGCTATGATGTGGCACCTGGATATGTAAACTGAGAACTGCTTCTTCATTGAGAGCAGCTGCATGGTTGAAGAGTTTCCTTTGGTATCTGGTATTTGGGAAAACATAATTTTACTTTAAAAACAAGATGCCATGTAAAAACAAACAGTCATTGAAAGGAGAATCAGATTTTTTTTTATTCCTTTCATGTTCATTCTTAACATTCATTTAGAACATAATCACAGTAGAATATAATACAATTCAACATTATCGATGTATTATAAATATATTTTCAAAACTTTGAACGAACAGGTGAAACATGAGATAGATTCCAAAAAAACAGAAATGTGTATCTCCATTTTACTTTAGAAAGCTGACTGCTTACCATCAAAAGTGCCTTCTTTAACTGAGTGGTGCCAGAATCTAATAGAAGACTTCTCTCTACTTATCAGGCGACTCAATCGATCAGTCATACTGCCTCTAATTTTTTTAAAAAATGTCAATGCAATTTTCAAATTAGGCTCAGCTGATATTCAGAATTTATACAAGAGCTAACATTCATGCAAGTAACCCTTGCCCAAGCTTAAAGTTTTAATAATTATAAAATAGCAACTTGTTATTGGATTCAAATAGTGATCCTTTAACTATAAACAGTTTTAATATTAGGAATTCTTGTAGCAGAGCATAATTAAGATTGCTACTCATTTCAGGGCAATTAATATATCTTAAAATTATGACTAAAGTGGGATTAAATAAGAATTCCATTGTCTGCTGAATAGAAAGTGCGCAGTTTAAGACACGTAATAAACACAACTGCTCTAGGACTTCCTTGAATTTGCCTTACAATTTTATGTTGTCCTCTAAAATATAAAAATAAACCTCAAGTATTTTTTTGTTCATCTCACTTGGTAAATTTTCTTCTTTTCTTAGCTGAATCCCCCTCTTGCTGATTATCCGACATTTCATTTTTGACTGGGGTCTTCTGCTTCTGAAGAGCAAGAACCCAGTCACTGGCTTTAATCTTTACCCCTTGAGTTGACTCTGATGAGCTGGATGTGCCACTGATAATCTCATTCTAAAAACAAAAAAGTGGATAAAAAAAATATATATATATATATATTCAATTATTGGTATAAATTAAGAGGGGGGATTTTTTTTGGTCACCATAGCTTCACTGTTGTAAACGCATCTTTTTTGGCTTTCTATTCAAAATTTATATATATTTCCATTATTGGCAAATCAAAGTTCCACTTAATTTTGTTAGATTAAACCCACGTCTAGAATAGTTGTGTACCAAATTTAAGCCCTGTAGCACCTTATGAAACCTTAATTTAAAACCCAATTTTCACCAAACCAAATATTTATACATACATACATACATATATATATATATATATATATATATATATATATATATATATATATTGTTACATAGAAGGGCCCTTTTGTTATATACTCCACTGACCTAGCCTTGTCAGCATACCACCTTCCAGGAAGGGTAAGAAGTTTTTAGAATAATAAGGTGCCAGACCAGTGTCTGCAGCGAACGTTTGGCCTACATTTAAGCCATGCAAAATGAATCTGTGTAAGTACTGATTGCATTCCCTTACAGTTGGAGAGATACAAGATGAGCATATCGATGCGTGACTAGCTTTCCGTGGCATTTGCTAAGCATGAGATAGGGCCATCCGATAGTTAGCAGCAATAGTAATTCCAGGAACTTAGACTTGTGATGGTACTCTTTATATTACTGTGAGATTTAGATATTGTTAGTGTTAGACCTTTATTCATTTCTTAACATGTAGATTTTATGTATCTTTGTTTATATAATTTTCAATGTAATAAGGTACAATTATATAGAGCACTGATTGTCTTCATTTTAGCCAGCCGTATGTCTAAAATCTACATGTCTTAGCCCCTTATCAAATTCCCCTTGATCATGAGCTTGTTCAAATGCATTGAACAACATAGGCTGCGTAACAATATTCATAAATCAGCCAAATGAAGTTGATAATAACAAGAAAGGAAAGAGAGGTGGCCATCAGGAAACAATAATTGTAATAATTTAATCTCTTTAATCTCTTATGCAGTTTTGAATTTTTGAGATAAAAGAAAAATGAATAAAGTGTATATATATTTATTTAAGGATGGGAACTATATTTGAATGAGCTGATCAAAAATATTATTCTAAAACATCATCATAACTCATGGCAGATCTTATTATAAAATGTAAGAGAAAGTTTAGTCTAGACTACATGTCTGGAAGAATTATTTTAAATTTTCTTAACACTCACCTGCAATAACTCTGGCTGTTGGAGTCCACTTTCTGTGTTTTCAACATCACTCAAATCATTTTCTTCAACTATATCATCTCTTCTGTCATCGCCTAAGGACTCAACATCTGATATCTGATCTAAAGATTCTTCATCTTCAGCAATTTTTAATTTACGGACTACTTTTGGTTTCTTGGTTGCTTTGACTTTATTGTGCAGATTTGGAGAATGACACTCAACAACATTGTTGACAACTTGAAATGAAGATTCTGACCATCTAACATCAGGGTCTTGGTTTTGTTTCACAGTTCTTGAAGTTGTCTTCAAATTCCTACAAGGATCAATTTGTTTATCTGCTAATGGCTGGGCTGCTAACTCAACATTATAACTTTTATTTTGCCAAGCGGCCATCTCTTTAACTATAGATTTCTGGGACTGTAATCCTGGCTCTGTGATATCTGTTTGTTCTTTGATAGTTCGGTGCAAGGGCCCTTTTTTTTGCGTTAGGCGCCTCTTTTTGGGTTGAACACTAGAGTGCTTGCCATTTTTAACTGTAGATAGGTCAACTTCAGGTTCAAGCTCTTCAGACGAGCTTGATGACCAATGAATATCTTCAGGTTGAGATATCTGATCTGTTCAAATAGGCATAAATTTAACCACCGAACAAAACTTATTTCGTTATATTAGTACAGTAAGTGTGTAAAGAAAAAATGAAAACTGCGTCTTCTGTAGTCCTCACAGCTTGCTTAATTTTTCAAAAAATCATATCCAGATATATGGCAATGTTACAAAATTATAATATATATAACTAACCTGTTGCTAAGACATCTTTAAATTCTGATAAAAACTCTTCCTGTTTATGTCCTCTCTCTGGAAAATTTGACTGCTTTACAGCTGCAGAAGTGAAATTTTGTTTTTGTGCCTTCACTGAAACTTTCCTTCTCTTCAGATGTCTAGTTTTATCAGGTGTTCCATCAGTTCTAATAAGACTTTCCATTTCTTTATCTTGACTACAGTTCCCATTTTCTTTCACGCCTGTTATTAAGTTTCTGAACTTTTGAACACCTGCAAATCCTTCACCACAAAACTCCCATCCATACTGAGGCATTTCAATAAATTTGCTTTTAGAATAGTGGAAACTTGTGCAGTCTCTAAAATAAAATATAGGAGGAAACTAAAATAAATTCCAAACCTAAAAATAATTATGAAAATTATGAAAACTATGCAACTAACGTTAATACTAGTAATGGGCCCACCACTACCAGTGCATTAATTGTGTAAATTATTTATTTAATATAGCCAAGATTGTGTCAATAGAAACCATTCTCATAAATACTATAGGCCTATAAAATAAATAGTGCAGAACACAACTTAATGTCAAAATACTACTGAAAATTTTCAAAAATTAATGTATTGATTACTTGAATTATGAAATTATAAGAATTGAAAGCGGGACCATCCATAAATGACATGCATCTAAGGTAGGAGGGGGGCAAAAATTTTGATTGATAATGTATTACTGATAATGAGTGTGTTAAATTCTGAGACAAATTTATGATGATGGGGGGGGGGGGGTGTGTCTAAAATAGTGTGATGTTATATATGAATATGATTTCACTCTATTTTGGTCGATGTCTATTACCCTCCCCAATCTTACAAATCATTAGAGAATTAGATACCTTCATGATCATCAAAAACATCCCTCCATATGTGTGGTGTTATTTGTGGATGGCCTATAATGACAACATCAGAGTCACTGTGACTATGTTATCATTCATGTCTTTCCTAATATTCATCGACTATGACAATACTATGAAAAAATGATGACATCACCATAAAGTCATAGTCATAAAGTTTTAAAACTAATTATTAATTAGTGGCAAGAAAGCGTAACTTTTTAAATTTAATTTAAGTACTTTTGTTGATTTAAACTTACAGAATATAACTTAAAATTATATAAATATAAGTAGTATAAGTAAAAGTAATAGTCATAGTTACTTAATTCTAGTTGGGTAATATACCACTTCATGAGCATTAAATTATTATTATAGCGCTTCAAACTTAAACAACAAGATTTTTTTCATAACCAACACTCAAGTGGTAGATTACCCTAGGGCCCAGTTAGACTGAACTAAGTGGGGCAAAAAGTAAGGAGGCCCTGCCATATGTCTGATCATATGTCAATGATAATATTATCATTGACATTGAATTGATATTTTAAAAAAATGATATTGGTATGTCTTGAATTGTAAAGTTTAAGTGAGTTAAGTTAGTAGGCTAAAACTACGACCAATTTAAAATCAATATTTAATTAGGATAACGTTTAAATTAAACTAAAGAAAGGCGTGAAAGGACTAAAGTAAGACTAGACTTTAAGTCAAGGATCTAGTATAAAGAAAGCAAAAAAGACAAAATCACAATCAATCACAATTCAATAATTGTGATTGATTGTGACTTTGTCTTTTTTAAACAATTATTGTTTAAACTGATCAACCCGCCCTATTACTTATTAAGTCACTTATATTATAACTACTTATAAGTAGTGTAGCCATAGTGAGTGTAGTAGGCCTATAGTAATAGTAACTAAGTAGTAGGAAGTAGTAAGTAAGTCTCAGTTCTAATAATTAATAATAATTAAATATACAAATTAAATTTCAATTTACTCAGCCACTTTGAGTTTCTCTGTAGGATTCCTGTAAATTTACCTTAACTTGTCCCCACTTTAAACATGACTTATTATATGGAAACTCGGATGTTACATCAATTTTACTACGCGGAAAAAAAATAAAAGCATTAGATTGTAATGATTACAAATTTGGTGGTTATTAATCAATTGTTACTCTTTCTACTGAAAAGCGCCAAACAGGGAGTATTGTTTCTTTGCTCGTAAGAGGTTCACACTAATACACACCAAAGCAATTTTTCAGAACAAATGATCCAAGAGACTAGTTGGTTACATAAACTCTTATCAGCTGTTTATTATGCGAATGTAAAACATCAAGAAAAACTCAATTTTACGTAACGTAGAAACTATGTCAAGCGTTGTTTATGACTAGTCATGTGCTTTATGTGTATTTAAGACAAGGCACTTACATAAAAGAATAAATAATAAAGCACTTTGGGTCAATGCAAAACATTTGTACGGTAGTTTGTATCTTTGCGGTTGCGTCACGGCCACGGTAAATATTAAATTAGTTTAAGTTTAAACTTCTACTTACTTACTACTTCTACTGACTAATTTTAACTAAACACTAATTACTTCTAAAAGGGAAAGTAAAGCCACTAAAGGAGTAAAGTTAAAGTGAGTTAAGTGATAAAGTCTAACTTAATCTTCTTAACTTAAGTTTTAAGTAAAGTTACAAATTACAAAGTTTAGTAAGTAAGTAAGAAAAGTACGGACACTAGTGACTAAACTTGTAAATAAGGAATTTAGGAAATAATCAAACACTGTTATTATTATATTATTTAATCTTTGAGTTGGAGCAGCTTAGGGTCTACTGGCCTACATATTTTATTAATCGAAATGATTATTCACAGAGCTGTGCAGATAACGCTCGCCGTTATTTGCAGATTTCGGTCTGCCAATAACGCTTGGCATTATTCGCAGAATGTGATATATCAAATTATGAATATAAAATACAAAGTTCACTTGCAGATGTCTCCTCGGTAGTATAGTGATAAGTATCCCCGCCTATCACCCAGAAGACCGGGGTTCGATTCCCGCCGGGGAAGCTACCTTTTACAAATAAATATTTTAAAAAAATAATATTTAAAGGTTATTTCGTATTGTTAAATTATAATTATGATCTTCATATAGCTTTATAAATAATTCTGTTCACATAGTTTTACTATTATTATTTTTATTTTCATATAGTTTTATTATACTTTTTATTTATACAATTTTATTATACTTTTCACTCTGTCCAACAATGTAAGTATTCAAAATTCTAGTTGCAATCTATTTTGTTTGAATGTTCCTTCAAGTTTCGTAAAAAAACTGTAAACAGCATGTACATGCAGATGAGCTGCATAAACCATGTTTAAACCAGATACAGCTGTTCTAACTGTACATTGTGATATACTTTAAGCTCTTTTGACTGTTTAATTTTCTTTGTATAATACCATTCATAGACTTAAACATCCATTTGTTTTTTCTCTAATAAAACAAATAAATATTAATAACTTACTTATTCAAATATTTTATATCTCAGAGTTGTGTATTAATGTTTAGCTGAAAAAAATGTCACGTTTTATTTGTTTAATTTTAGTTTCTAATGAGTATCATAATAAGTAGGACACAATATAGTCCAGAAATAGTTGAAATAACACTTAGTGATGACAATGAAATGAACCAATAGGTACTGTACTTAAAACATATCAATATCATTGACATCAACAATTTTAGCTCTTGTAAAAACAATGTTGATAATTGAAACAAAAAGCCATACTGACACTGTTGTAACTATGGGTCTAAATATAAAAAAGCATTAACAAATTAATTGGAACCCTGCTGGTCGTAGGATGCATTGCGAGTCTTTGGGGAAGTAAAGCTCCCTTGGGGCAATTGAAGCAGCGTTTACAAGTTTGAGTGTATGGCCAGCGCAATAACCGGTCACCTTTACTTTTCCAAGCTAAGGCCAGAGCTGGGTAGACTTAGGGACACCCTCAAGGATGAGGAAAAAATACTAGCCTTAAACAGGATTAGATTCTGTTATTATCGATGTAGGGCCTATATGCCCCTCCCGTCTCTCACATGGCCGTGTGATGCAGCCACCTCTCTGCATCATAACACTGTTGCACGGCATGTCAACTATTTCTGACAGAACATTTCTGGACTAGGTGATATATCATAGAGCTTTACTTTAAAAAACTAAATGATACCCTATAAAGCTTTGACATCATTTTAAGACCTCTCTACAGTGGGTGAAAGTGAGTCTACATGAAGAATACCGATACCATTTTTACTACTGGTATAACTTTTGATATGAAATACCAGAAAATTAGTTATGTCTAGGAGTAGGAGGTTTGACTGGATATATTAGTAACACTATATAGGTCGAATAGACCCTACGTTGTCCCCTAACAGAGCAGATGTAGGCACAATTCATTGTCCTATATCCAATATATAGGCTATAGTTAATTTGTGCATAGCTTCGGTTTTGAAATGTGTTTGTGCCATACTCATTAAAGATTGGTAGATCCTACACTACTTAAAACTACACCCCCACCCCCCTCCCCCGGCTTGGAATGTGATCCTAATTTCTAGAAATTTGCGTAATTATGGGAAAATTTCTGTCTAACAATATTGCTCTGCATTATTCGAAGATTTCCGTCTGCCGATAACGCTCGGCATTATTCGAAGATTTCGGTCTGCCGATAACGCTCAACATTATTCGCAGAGCTGTGTGGATAACGCTTCCCTTTATTAATAGCCTAAATTAACTAATTAACATAATAAATAGTTGATTAGCCTGTCTTTAACGCCCTATTTAATTTATTGAAGGGGCTATTTGGTTTATTAAAAAAAATATTTAAAATAAAATGTTCGCACCCAAGGCCCTTTAGACTAAATGCTATTCGGATGTCATTTGTGGTAGTTTATTTTAGTTAAATTGAAGAAGCATGTTTACAAACATATATGATATAGTCCATTCAGTTATCTTTCATTTGATACCTAATTTTGTTTTACAAATCCAACAAAACATTTAAAATATTCTTTAATAAACCCAAGCTCTCATTCTTTTCTGAGTCTGAATCCCAGGTCTGAATAGCCGCAGCCTTAATTTATTGGAAAGTAGAAAGTATAATTTTAAAATATTAAAATAGGCCTACTACTGTTTATACTGTAAAATGTAGGCTTTTACAAAATTAAGAATTTATCAGGCATGTGTGCTTAGTACATTCCTATGTGGCAGTGAAGTGTAGATGACATATGCCAGGCATGAGTGGAAACTCAACAGCTTCCATCAAAGATGTCTGCATCGCATTTAATGCATTCGATGGCAGGACAAGGTGCATAACATAGAGGTTTTGGAACATGCAAAAATGTGTAGCATATTCTCCACTCTTTGCAAGTGATGCCTTCACTGGTTAGGCCATGTAAGGAAATAGGAGGAAGGCTGTATTCCAAAGGATCTGCTATATAGAGAGTTGGAAGAAGGGGCAAGACTTATTGGATGGCTGTGGCTGCAATTTAAGGACATTTACAAAAGAAGCATGAGGGAAGCCAACATAGAAATCGACAAATGGGAGCTCATCGCTGAGCACTATTCCAGCTGGTGAACAGTGTCAACTCCTATGTTCTACTGGATTAATTGATTTGTCAAGTTCTTTCACACGTTGAAATACGTCGTTCTAATATTGAATAACTCAAGTCCTTTATTACGATAAATGTAACTTTAATATCTTATTATTAACACAGGCTGTAAACTCCATACATACATGAATATAGCGCAGCTCGCTATCAGACATATAACTAAAACACACCCTACTTCTACAAAGTTCCATTCACGACTACTGCACGACTAAAACTTACGTCACAATACTGTCTAGATAATACGTCACAATCAGCATAAAAATACGTTTCCGAGTCAAGCGCGGGAAGAGCGTTTATCAACTAAGAGAAATAATAAATAATAATATGCAGTCGCATCAATTATTATTGAACTCCCATACTCAACAAACAGCAGTGTATGAAGGAGTAAAAAAAGGCAGAAGATGCACAAAACGAAGCCCTTGCAACAAAAAGAGCATTATGGAACGAAAAATTTATCCAGAAGTCAAGGTTCAAGAATTCAAAATTGCGACATTTTTAAAAATAATATTTTTACTGTTTCGGATATAAAAATGAATGTTACTCATAAATGGACAAATTATAGAAAATGATGTTCTTAAATTATGGATTTATAATTTATACTAATTATTTATATTTTTATTTAGATACCTCTGATTTTTTGCACCCTGCCTTGATTAGTCATGTGGATTTTAGATGAGAACAACTTGGCAATATGTGCCATTGTAACAGTAGCCATGCAGTTTATTTTCTTTTTAATTGCCTGCACTTGCAAGTTTGACAAAGTAACTGACTTTGCTGGTGGAACAAACTTTGTTGTTCTAGCTGTTATGACTTTCCTAATAGCTTGGGTATGTAAACCCTTAGAATGTCTGTCATGCTTAGTTAAGCATACCATAAATTTTGATTGTCTTCTGGGCATTTCAATAGATTAAGGTTTGGGGAGTTTAAGATGGTAAACATTGAGATAAATTATCTATTCACTAAATTCTATTATTTCTTATTTAAAATGAAATATTCCTCATCATGAGATGTTTAAATTAAATAATCAATGCACTGCAACAATTATAGTTGGCTTTCAGAATTATTGTAAAATATATTTATAATACTGCTTGCTGAAATTTATTTCATTTTTCTTCTTGCAACTCTATTGCAGACCTTCAGCACAAGACAAATCATTGTGACAGTCTTCATAATTGTCTGGGGGTTGCGACTTTCAGGATATTTACTTTATAGGATAATCAAAATAGGAGAAGATAATCGATTTGATGACAAGAGAGAAAATTGCCTCAAGTTTGCAGGCTTTTGGACTTTTCAGGTAAAAAACAAAATACCAAGAAACAAGACTTTATTACTCATATATATTCAATAATTTTTTTTACCTGGTTATATATCTCTTAGTTTTTTTGTTTCACTTTTCACAGAATCATTAAAAAATTACCTCCAAGTTGGTATTTATTGAACAATGCTTTTACCATGCCATTTGTAACTTTGTAATATTTTTTAATAAACTAGGCAATATGGGTTTTCACCGTTAGCCTGCCAGTGATATTTGTCAATGCTCCAGCAAGTGCTGTCAAAAGTGATTACATCACACCCCAAGACATTATTGGCTTCATTTTGTTTGGAATTGGACTTCTTACAGAAACCGTTGCTGATTTACAAAAATTTAGTTTCAGAAATGACCCTGCAAATAAAGGGAAATGGTGCAATACAGGTAAAATAAATTTACTTTTGATTGGGAAACTTTCTTGCCAGTAATCTGTTTCAGGTTCTTTGATATCAATTCATCTTTAAGATAAGATAAGATTCTTTTATTGATCCAATTAAATTTAAATGTTTTTTGATTGCATTATACATTTTCAGCACATAAATAAAACAATTTGATCACAAGACATTTATAATAAATTATTTCAAACAGCCGTTCAGTGAATTCTCTTAGCCAAATCGGGGACTTATTGAATGACCCTTTTACAGGGGTCGCCTAAGACAGACCTGTTTACTCTTACGATTTTGGCGTACAGTGTACGATTTTGAGGTTTATACATTGTATATACTGTATTATTATTTCTTTTACTATTAAGATAATGTGTTGAATGATTTTTTGTGATATTGTACGATTTTAGGAGTTTGGGGGTAAACATATCTGCTAAGAAAATAATTTTGTGGTTAGAGGTCGCCACAACGCGAGGAACTGAATTAAAGGGTCGCGGCATTAGGAAGGTTGAGAACCACTGATGTAAAATATTTCTTTAATTGTTCTGGTAAATAGTTACACAATTTTTTAATTACTTATGGCCCACTAGGCTTAATATATTTTTGTGTTGGATAAGCAGATAAGTTGTTACTTTTACAAATTGTTTTGAATGTTGTTTTATATTTTTAAACAACTATTATTTTAAAAAATATTTTACTTCATTTTAGGTTTGTGGCGTTTCTCTCGTCATCCAAATTATTTTGGAGAAATAACCGTATGGATAGGTATCTTTCTTATCAGCACCAGCATACTTGAATATGGACAGTGGACAGCTGTTCTTAGTCCTTTATTTACCATGACCATCCTACTTTTCTTGAGCGGTATCCCTTTGCTTGAACAAAAAGCAGATGAAAGATACCGAACGTAAGTTAAGCTATTTTTTCTTTTTCATAACAATTTCAATTATAGTACATTATTGGGAATGAGCCAATTACAGCTCCTTTGTGATATAATTATATTTCAACCATTTTGCCTCTTTACAATGGCAATCTTGACATAAAAAAGTGGTAAAATTGTGTATTACACATTGCAGCATTTTATGCTGCCGAACCATACCCAGCACTAGTGAAATTATGAGGGTTTGGCTTTTCCGATTTCTGACATAATTCACAAATTTTTTTTTTTAAATTCATTTTTATCTCGCTCCAACTTCTCATATGGACAGATACTGCCAGAAAGTTCTATATGTTGCAATGATTTTAATCACTGTCTTTCTTTTCTAGTTTGATGTTATTAAGAGTCTCATTTTTAAAAATTCTTCAGACAATTTTGTTTTGCTACATTTTTAACTCGTAAGGCTGATTTCAGAGTTTAGGCTGAACTCATAACATTTTTTCCCCATCATTTCAACCGTCTAATTCTATAAAAAAAAATGTACAAAACAGTTTGAAAATGTTGACCTCTTTATTATTAGCTAGATCAGGAGTAGGCAACCTGCGTCACACTGGCATCTGAAACATATTATCCGGCAAAGCAAGACCTTCCAAGAACTGGTTTAATGTTTCTGTACCAATTGTGAATGATTACATTTAAAAGCCTTACAAAATTATTAATCAGTGTAAAAATGATTAAACTAATAATAAAATTATTCTATTGCTTATTAGTGAAATGAGCTCAGAGTCAATTTTTGAAGACACTCTTTGACATACATGATGTACATAAAAAAATTATGCAGCTCGCCATAGACAAAATAATTGCCATGCAGCCATCCGCGCTAAAAGATTCCCCACTGATCTGGAGTTTTAATTGGAAAATTCTCAATTCCTATTTTTGTTATATTTCAGAAATCAGCTTTATCTAGTTTACAAAAGCAGAACAAGTCCTCTCATTCTCCTACCCCCACCTTGTTACGGAGCTCTGCCTTACTGCATGAAGTTTGTTTTTTGTTGTGAGTTTCCTCTGTACAACAGACTTGATGAGGAAAATCAGAGCATCAAGAACAGCCCCCAAAAGCAGAATCAACAGCCTATTACAGAGCAGCCTGAGACTATGAGCGCATAGTGTGGCATACTTACATAGATTCATTATATTACATTTGTTTAACCTTCGGAAATAAAAGTGTTAGATGTTGTGATTTATTTTTCCATGATGTATACTTTTATGGATGGACAACAAAAAAAAATTTATGGGAAATGTTTGTTTTATAGTTTATTGCCATAAATTATTTGATATATGAATTATATGTGAGCTTTTTATCTTGCTATAGCATAATAAACTTACAAACTTTGTTGCATAGCAGATATTGACAATCTAATGTGTACATGTCATTTAGGAAACCTTTCAGCTTTATAAAATATGCAAAAAAGGAATTGTAATGGCAACAGCCAAGGTGTGAGTTTTTAATAGTTCAGAAACATCTATTTAAAGCAGCTATTCAAGTATAATTCTGTTGATGTTAAAAAAATTTCTTAAATGGTTTATTTTTTTAAACCATGTAAATGCTATGTTTATGAATGCATATATAATATTATTGTTAGTGGCGCTATTGTTACAACAGCACTGTGATTGTGATGGGGTTCTTCAAAGTGTGAAACCTTTCAATGTGACAATTGAAAATATCATTGTATGTGAGTAGTTTAGGATTTCATTTGGCAGACACATCAAATAGTTATAAACTTGTGTAATAAAAATAATAGACATTGGCAACAATTAATATTGCTATTCGTTTAAATATAAACTGTCCACAGTTAAGATATTCTTTACTCCCCCCCAACTCCCAGTAGTATACCCTTTTAAAATTGTTACCAATAAACTTGTTAATACCCGGTACTTAATAAATTGAACAAAAAATATTTAGCTTTTAAATATAAACATTTAAAATTTGTTGGAGGTTGTATTTGTTACAAATTTTAATCAAGTAAGTAAAAATATAATTTAAACAAATTAATTCATGTATTGTACCAATGTAACAGATTTTTTACTGTTTTTATTTAAAATGTTCTTATATGTTATGTCCCATTAAAGTTCTATCTATTTTTTTTTTGTTTTTATTATCATATTTATTACCAAATTTAAATACCAGTACAGTGTGTTTTTAAATTTACACATTTTTTTTTACTAGATATAAAAATTTAGAAGGAAAATAATGTCACTTTTTTATTATTTCATTTTAGTAGAGTTTCATTTGTTAAAAATTCATTTTGGTAGTGTTATGTTTCTTTTAAGGAAATGTGCTACTTCTACTTAAATGATCCTGTAAAAATACTCTACATCAAACTCTCTGCCTTCTTTTTTTATATCTGATTTATAATATATATGTGTATACCAAATAAAAATTGTATTCTTTGATAACAAAAATGTGTTACTTTATTCATCCTTTTTTTTTTTTTTTTTACTTGCTAAGTTATGTTAAATATTTTTAAACTTAAATACTTATGAACTTATCTGTAACGATCATATATGTGTGGGTGTAGATTTGTAGTTATCGCTTACACTATTCATACACATTTACATATGTCCATGATTATCCAAACAAGTACCAGAGAACTCCTTGAATTTGCATCACGACATTAATTAACTGATCAACGTACGCTACATAATAAAATAATATCTCTGTAGATCAGAGCAAAATATAATTCTTCATATAACCTCATCCACTTCACAATCAACAATAGGATGCTGTTCAATAACTAAATGACCGTAGCAAGTGCTAATAAAAATATCTCCAACCGTCACTGTCTCAGTTTTCTTCCATCCCATAATTCCTTAACTTCCTGTTTTTCTACTTAACAAAACAATATATTATTTTCCGAAACAAAATTAATATCTAAATATTTGATCTGTGACATAATCATTCAAAATAAGCCACACAAAACACTTCTTTACATAACAAAGTTACTGCATGAATTAAAATAAATTATAAATAAAAAGTTTAACGATGTAAATGCTTTATCTCTCTTCCCGTGTTCTTAAACCACACAAAAAGAAACAAAATATTTCTCATATAGCAGTCAATATGTCAGACTACAATTTTTTGATAAAAAAGAATCTCCACTGCATCTGAATTTCAAACCCAGATTAATGATTTAATTGTTTCATTCCAGTAAAGAAACAATGCAGTGACTTTAGCAATTTGGTAGTGAGCATGAGGGAACAAAAATATATCTTAAAATCTGCATAATAAACCATTCGAACATTTGAAAAGAAAAGAAAAAGGGTACTGTTTATAAAAGGATGAAGAAATCCTGAACTAACAACAGTCACCTTAAAGATCTGTAACAATATCAAAAACCAGTCCCTTTTCTTCCAATTTGCTGAAAATAATTTAAGCTAATAAATATATTGATTCAGGGTATATAATTTATTCATTCCATTTAATTAATTTAAATAATAAGAGGATATTCTAATTCTACAGGTCTCCAGCAAAGATCAGGAGGATGCTGATTGTGCTTTGGCTAATATTTTCTTTTTCCACTCCTCATAATCTGACTTGGATACTAAACCGCACTCAGAACCTTCTCCATTTGAGGCATCTGATCTTGTTTTTTTTGAATGTCCATCTAAATCTAAAGACAGAAAACAATTTTTTATGAGCTCAAATTTATATATATGAAATTAGGAGTACTAGTAAAAATAAAATCCAATGTGAATAAAATTTTAGTTCCAATATTCACCCCTCACATTCATAAATCTGTGCACACTATTAAAATTATATTATATACAATATTTATATATCATATGCATGGTATATCATAAAAATAAAACAATAAATTTGAACTAAGCACAGTAACTCTCAGTGATTTTAATAATTGAATATACTTCAGCTTTAAATATCTGCCCCGTTGGTTTCAACATTTATGCATTTCAACTCCGTCTTAGCAGTCATAACTTAAGTAACTTACTCTCAATTTGAGCTTCTATAGCCTCCATTAAACCTCTTTTCTTAGTTGGTGTCTGCTTCTTTGAATCTATGAAAAGAACAACAAAAGAGACATTTTAAAATGAAGGGCCAAGTATAAAAAGTACTTAAGTGTATTTTTGCATTTTCATATTAAATACATTAAAAATTGCTCGAAGTAACTCTGAACGAAACACTCATGTACATTTTCATGAATGATATTATATGATTATTACAGAATGATTCAGGGGACGTAATCTGATATAATAACAGGCTTACCTCATTTTTGAAAAATTGTAAATTAAGTACTTTTTCTACTCAGCCCTTCAAATACTGCTTAAGGTAAATATGATGGAGAAAAGGTGTCATTATTTTTAACAGAAATTTAGATAAAATAAAACTATTTGCTTTAAAAAAATGAAAACCCAACAACAAAAATCTGTATATGTACCTGGATCTGGTTCAACATACTTTTCCATCTCATTTATTAATTTGTCAAGAGTTGCCTTTTTTATGCCACTGCGCTCCCGCAGTTTTCCAACATTCATTTTAATCTTTTGGGCTCTGTCAAAAATATTCAGAAATATCAAATGGTAAGAGAGTTTTATTTTTCATGGATAGTTTTTTGTTTTTAATTTTTTAAGTTTCTTTAAATACAAATTTGAACTTGAGCTTAGCCAAAAAAGTGATTCTTACTATTTGGCTCAATGTGAATTGATGTTCGTAACTATTCGGCTGAAACACATTGTTTTCATGAAGTTGATAACATTTTGATTATTTTTATGGTAATCAAGTACAAACGCTAAGAAATTAGAAATGCTACTGATTTATAACTGTTTTAATACTTCAAGCAAGTAAAGCTATTGTATAGTAATAAAATTCAGAGGTCAACCTAATCTCTGGTTCTTAACCAGGCCCGCACATGTGGCCCGCCAGCACCCACTTTGCGGCCCGCAAAGTATCGAAATATTATTTATTCTTATTATTTTCTTAATAGCTTCCCTCTGTCCTATTTTCTCTTGGCCCGCACAAGTGTCCTATTTTATTTTGGCCCACACAAGTTTTTCATAAAGTATTATGGCCCGCCTTACATTTTGAGTTGAACAGGCCTGGTCTTAGCTATAACATGTAGATTGCCTTATGCAAATTCTCTTTTACAATGTCCTATTAAGCTGATTTAAATAGGTAATAAAATGAGTAGTAAAAATATCTTGTAAATTAAATTAGACTGAATCTATATCTCTTGTCAAGTCTGATAAAAATTATCTTGTACAAAATTAAATTTCTACCTGCTTGCAACAATGAGGGCAGCACACAGAAACATTGGTGAATAAAAGTCAACATCGCTACATTGATCCCTGGTGTACCTGAGAACAAATATTTATGGAACAATCATCATCTGAATGTCTTTACAAACAAAAAATATATAAAAAACCAATCATACATGATCCTTTAAACCAGGGGTGGCCAACCCAGAAGGCTTTGTAGGCTAATTTGATAGTGAGAACACTGTTCACAGGCCATTTGTCATTACACCTTATATAAAAATATTAAAATAAACACCAAGTAAATGCTGTATAGATATATTTATATATTCTATATGCCCATATGGATATGCTAAAAAAAAAAACCCAGTATAAAACCAATGGAATGTTTTTTTATGTGATTTCATTCATCTTTTCTCTCACTCATGATTTTAAAATCAATTCTTTTTTCAAACGAATGAAGAATGAATACGTTTATTGTGAAAAATCAGGCATCAGTGAGCCGCAATATTTGAATAGAGGGCTGAGCGCACAAGCTGGCCACCTCTACTTAAAAATTTTAATTAAAGAGTTGACTATAGCTGACTATAACTGAGATAAAGAAGTATCTATAGGGATCTTCACTTTTAATTTTCATAATACCGGCATAGTTAGCATGTTTCTTTAAATTAGTTAGCTGAGGGCTGTTTTGAATTTAATTAGTTCAGCTTGACCTTTGAAATCTGGTACTGGTTCAGTTGTTCTTAAATTGTATTAATTTTTGTGTTAAAACATTCAATGTTGACAAAACAGTCAATGCTGACGAAGCTTCAACAGCTTTAATAATATAAATAGTGTTATAATTAATTTTTAAAATGTACCTTTGAATTATATTATTTGCCAGATTAACAATCCCACTACAACCATACTGAATGGCCAGTTCTCTGAGAGTCACACGATCTTCCAATTCCAAAATGCTTGCAATCACTTTGGCAGCTTCACAATAGGATCTCTTGTTCATACTTGACAACCTTACAACATCAACCTATGACATAAATTGGTGAAAATTCAAAACTTGCCTTTACTTATAATATAATATAATTATGTATGAAATTGTGCCTTTGCAATTGTTTAACTTTCATCCTGCTTCATATATATTTAAAGTTAAAATGAATACGCACAATTTTTTTTAAAATCTTAAAACAATATAGGTAAATAATAAAATGTTTGGGCCACCATACCTGCATTGTTTTTAAGAAAACCATTGACCATGTACAATTTTCTAAAGCCTAGGATCTGTGGCCTTTACCACAGTTCTGGGTTTATCATCATTGCCAAGTATTAAGAGGAGGTGACAATGTGGTAGACCTTGTTTTTTTTACTCAGTGACATACAAATGTGATCGTTTGCATGCATTTTGGTGTGAACACGATTCAAGTGCACAGCCTGGGAAGCAATGAATGAGAGAGCAGCATGATGTGCAATGGGAGCAGGGAGGACAAGATCCACTCTGGAATTAAATATAGTGATCCCTCGTCTATCATGGGTTCACTTTTCATGATTTAACTCTATCGCAGATTTTTCACTAGTATGTATTGTGAATTTTTCGCTATATCGCTGGATTTTGTGGTTTATAAGTATTTTTATAAATTTATTTTTCTAATTACTTTTACAGCAACATTAGGATTTCCTAGCCTTAATAAAATGAATTTAAAAAATAATATATAAAACATTAATTAAAACATATTAAAAGAATATTAAAAGAAATAAAATATGTAGCTTACAGCAGATGAGTAGACAAACACTCGCATGAGTGAAAAACGCAGTTTGGGCAAACTATTGGCTGATGGATGGGAGGCGACCAACCAGAGTTCTGTATCCTGGGCGCTGATTGGCTCAGCAACTGTGACAACAGTCTCCTTCGCCTCTCGCAAATAGCATGCATTCAGCATCTTTCCTTGTCCATTTCAAATCCATGTCTGATGGCTGGCTATAGTGTTGCTCTGATGTGATGTGTTTTTATGAAATTTTCTTAAACTATTGAATTTATTTTAAGCCCTACGATGTCACCTATACATTTACACCTTCTGAGGCTTTTAAGCTGTTTAGGATGAGTGGTGGAAAATTTAATAACAGGATGGGGAAGGTTTTAAGATGGTTTATAGTTTATCTAGCATGGAGCAATGCATACAAACAATTATGGCCCCAATCCCACAATTAAGGTAAAATCTAGATATATACTGTAAACGCAGAAACCAGAATGGATTAATGCAATCTCCAAACTGGAACCTAAGCCCCTAAATTATTTTTATTGTTTGTACTTCGCACGTGAAGATGACCAAGGCTTGTCCTGAAAAGTAGTCTTAAATTGAGCATAATTTTGATTAAAGTAAGGGAGAGTTGCTCAATTCGTCAGCCTCATTATCTTGTGCTTGTCTATTTGATCCAATTACAAGACTTAGTCAAGTCGACTGTAAATAGCGCAGGATACAGTAGATGACCAGCAGTGTCTATTTGTGAGTATCACTGTGCTCTTTAAGTGTTCCACGTCGGAGGAGTTGTCTGAATTTTCATTGTGTAAGTGACCCTGGTTTGATTTCAGAGTTTTCCTTCTCTTAGATGAGTTGCCATCCAGGTTAAAAAGTCCCATCCACCTGGGGTGCTGGTGTTGTTTTTGCTTGTCTTTTTCTGGGGATTGAGATCCAGTCCACAATCTTGCTATTGACTCAGATTTGACCGCTCGGCCACCTAGAAAACCCCCAGCACCACCACCATGATAAGGGACCCTATATATATTGAAAAATTGGCAAATAGCCATGGATGAACATTTAAATAAGTTGCTTTTCATTTCCGAAAACTTGAATAGTGACAAAAAAATTTTCTTAGACTTTTTTTGGAGACCTTTTATAAAATTATGCCTCAAAATAAATAGTTAGAGAGACTAAAGGAATTGTTTCTCACTTGATTAAGAGTACAGCCATAAATTTTAGATGCAAGATCTACACAAACAACAAACTTGCAGGAACCTGTCAGTTTAAGAGCACTTAGTGATGTCGCTGCTCGTGCTTCTAATAGTTCATTGAGTTCAGCTGCCTTTCTGTAATATTAAAATTATTATAATGTAAAATTGAAAAGCAATATAAATACATGTTGTAAAAGAATAAACTAATTCTTTACCATTTAAATATATTGGAGACTTAGAATTATTTTGTATTTACTCTTGTCAAATTAATAACATTATTGGTACCAGGTAGTTGCAATAACTCGAGACAATGACTACTTTCAGACTGACAAATTTAATTTACACAGAAACAGTTGAGCTTTGATTTTCAGAACGCTGATTATCTGAAACATTGGTTATTTAAACAGCCCCAGTCTTTTTCTTTTAATATTATTTTTAGTGTACCTAAGGTGCATATCTCTGAACATAATAAGTATCCAAAAAAATTACAGCCTTCGTCACACATTCAAGGTAAAATCTAGATACATATTATAAACGCAGAAACGAGAATGGGCTAATGCAATCGCCAAACTTGTTAGTTAATATATATTGTAGAATATCCAAGCACCAGTCATCTACTTTTGGAAACAACCTCTTTGAAGAAAAAAATTCCAGTCTTCAACAGTTTTTGCCATCAATGAACTGACCCTTATATTTTGTGCTGTAAACTTAGAAAAAAGTGTATTCCTTGCGTAAGGTAAGAATGTAGTGTGTCTTATGTGTAAGGTATTATTATATTGTATTCTATGTGTAAGGTAAGAATTCTATGTATCAGGTAAGAATTTAGTGTACTCTAATAATTCTATGCACTTATTTCTTTCAGCAGCCTTTCCATGCCAATGTTCGGTTATCCAAACCACCCATGATCCGAATTAGTTTGGTAAATTGAAAATTGACACTACTTTGTTATGTGTTAAGAGAGAAAATTCTGTCTATGCCCATATGTCATGGAAGATATTTATTTATTTATTTATTTATTTAGGCATTTTTATATAGCGCTTATCATAAAGCTCTAAGCGCTTTACAGTTATTAAAACATGTAAACTAAGTAAATACAAATGAGACACTAGGATAGTAACTACTATTCTATAGAAACAATGAAAATGGCTATAAAAAGAGGACACTTTGACACTTCAGGATTAAACCGAAACAGAAAATTAGGTAGGGCAAGGAGGGTGCATCACAGGTCATAGGCGGACCTAAACAGATGAGTTTTAAGGGACTTTTTGAAAATGGACGAGGTTTCACTATGACGTATATGGAAGGGGAGCTGGTTCCAGAACGTGGGCCCATGGAAGCAGAAGGAGCGTTCACCGATGGTCTTAGTTTTAGTTCTTGGGATTGAGAGGGTTCTATTGTCAATGGAAGAACGTAGTTGTCTTGTGGGGATGTAAGGAAGCAACAGTTCAGAGAGATAGACAGGAAAGTGAGGGTCAGTGAACGAGTTGAAGCAAAGATTGGAAGACTTGTATTTGATGCGAGAGGATATTGGAAGCCAGTGGAGTTGCCGCATGTGTGGTTGAATGTGGTCATGTTTCTTTAATTTAAAAATGAGTCTGCATGCTGAGTTCTGTGCCTTCTGAAGATATCCAGATATCAGAGCAGGGTGTGCTTGCCCTCCTCAAAACCATTAACCCCTACAAAGCATGTGGTCCTGACAACATCAAACCACGAGTGCTCAAAGAATTAGCCAAAGAAATCTTAGGCACAGTCATGAAGCATCTTGAAAGACAAAATACACTCAATGACTGTCAACATGGCTTCCGAGTCAATAGATCATGTGAAACACAGCTCCTTGAATTTGTAGAAGACTTGATGACCAATCTGGTGAACCACAAGCAAACTGACGTGCTGGTGATGAACTTGGCATTTGACTGTGTCAATCATAGTTTGCTTCTACACAAACTCCAGAGATATGGGATTCAAGGCACCACTAAAACATGGATCTCTAGCTTCCTCAGCCACCGATGCCAAGCAGTAGTGGTGGATGGTACAAGCTCCTCCTTTGTCGATGTGAAGTCAGGGGTCCCCCAGGGTTCAGTGCTAAGCCCCTGTTTGTTCCTAGCATACATTAATGACCTACTCTCGACACCACGTGTTTGCCTTGAGACTTACGGAAAGGGCACTTTCGCATTTGCTGGTCCAACAATTTGGAACGCCCTTCCTGTCGATCTCAGAAACAACCAGACACTGGAGTCCTTTAAAACCGATTTAAAGACACATCTATTTCGCTAACACCTTCTGGGATGATTGTCAACCTTATTTTCCAGTTAATGCATAATGGCTGTGTTGCTTATGGTTGAAATGGCTAGAAAGACTTTGCCATTGTATGCTTGTTCTTAGTTTTTGTAGTGTTGCGTTAGTTTTAAATGTGGTAAATTATAGATTTTTTTTTGTTGACTTTGTACCGCGCTTCGAGCCTTTGGGGATGAAGCGTGTTTTTGAAATGAACTTTATTATTATTATTATTACCCGAGAAACTGACATCCCAAGCAAGACTATTCGTAGATGACACAGCAGTTTATAGGACGATCGCCAACAGATCTGACCAGGACCAGCTACAACATCTCAATCGGTTAGCTGAGTGGGAGATGAGCTGGGACATGGAATTTCACCCTGCCAAGTGACAGACACTAATCAGTCTCTAGAAGTTGTACTCCTCTACACCACAAATACGAACTGCATGGCAATATACTTGAGCCAGTTTCCTCAGTAAAGTACCTGGGTGTTACCATTCAAAGAGAGGTCCGCTGGGACGAGCATATTAACAATGTGTGTAACCAAGCAAACAAAACCCTGGGGTTCTTAAGGCGTAATCTAAAGATTGGAAACTTCTTTTTGAAAGAAAGAGCCTATAAAGCCTTTGACCGTCCGGTTTTAGATTATGCATCTTCAGTCTGGGAGCCATTTACCCAGAAGAGCATTGACAGGTTGGAAGTGGTCTGGCGACGGGCAGCATGGCATGCTTTGTCCTGAACGGCTACCGGAATGCCTCTAGTGTTGGCAGCATGCTGAAAACACTAGGCTGGTCACCATTGGAGGAATGTCGACGACTATCCAGGCTCTCCATAATGTACAAGATAAATAATGGGCTGGTCCACTGTTCCAGTATTAAACAAACTCGTCCCTCTCCTCCATAGACAGCGACCAGGCCATGACAGGCAATGCCGGCTCATACCAGCAAGAACCCAGTATAGGAACTGCTCATTCCTGCCCAAGACAATCAGGGACTGGAACAAGCTTTCAAAAGGAACAGTTGAGGCGACAGCACTAGACACATTTGCGTTTATTGCCTCAAGCCTTCCAACCCCCAGTGCATGATTCCCTCACAAAGTAGCACTTGTAATCAATGAAATATCCTCATCAACACCAGGCACAGAAACATTGCAAATCCCCTCTACATGCATAGGAGCCAAAATGATCAATATATTGATCGTGGGCCCTTAATATATAGAAGAAGAACAGGTCACTCCGACTTACCAAGTGGAATAAGACTTTAAATTCATTCCGCATGCCAATAACTTAAACGTCTATGATTCAAGATCCATTTATAATTTTTTTTGTATTTAATGTCTTCCAGATGCCAATGAAAATCGCTATGCATGTCAAGTCTGGCACGGGTGCTATAAGTTGCTGACCCCTGGCCTATAGCAGGGTCCCCCAAGGCCAAATGGTTGTTCGCAGACTGGTGCCAGTTCGCAAGCCTTACGCTGCCGGTCTGCACAGCATAAATAATTATGGTCAAATAAAAAGAAAATACAATTGAAATAATAAATCTGGTGCAGTGGCATAGGAAGGGGGTGCAGAGGGGCGGTAAATACTTTTTTCTTTATATGGAGGGGCAGCATGGAAAGAGGCAGGAAAATTCTTATCCTGCCCCTGCCCTGAGCAGCACTAAGTTAGAGTTAGTGACTAACCATCATGTTATGGTTACCCCACTGCCCAAAAGTTAAGCTTACCAGATTTTCTGGACGCCAAGGACGGACACAAAGGCTCACAGGAACCGGAACCATACTGGCCGGGGGTGGGGTTGTGTTGTGCTTGACTTTTTTTGGACACCCCCCCAAACTCGTACGTACAAGAATCTTTTAGCCCCCATCCCCATAAAAACACCAAAGAAATCAAATAATTTTAATAGAAAATTTTGACATAAGAGGAATAAAAAAATGTGTCATGGGTTTATACCGGCGACAGTTTGGCCAGCCAAGTGGTCCCCATAACATACGCCAGGGTGCCATGTTGTACTTGGGCAGAATCATGAGAATCGTGCAAAAAAGGCAGTCACAGTGAATAGTTCAGAATAGTGAATTAAAATATCAAATCCCATATACTTCAGAGAGACGAGGGGGGCCAAAAATCATATTTTTTACCGATCTGCCACGGGGCACTTTTTCTATACATTAAGTGGCACCATTTTCTGGATTCGCACCAGGTGCAGCATTTCCTCCATAGCGAACAGTAAAAACAGAATCAAATAAAAATACCACTTAACTGAAAAGTAGTAGTAGTAGCCTATCTGGGAGGGTAGCAAAAGAATGGTGCAAACCAAAGTTTGTCATTTATTTATCTTTCATTTGAAACCAAATTTTGTCTTACAACCCAGCAATAATTAATAAAATAATAGCCATTTCAACTTTTTTTGTTCTTTCCTATAACTATGATATGACGACTATCTAGGCCTATAAACTATAGTGGGTTATCTGCCACTTGAGCGTCGGGCAAGAAAAAATCCAGTAAGTCCGGTTGGAAGGGCTATTTAAACAACTATTCTTACATTGGAGTCTGTTAATATTTTTGCTTCCGTATAGAGGCTATAAAGTTATATAGTACAATACTAATACTAATACATTTAGATAATTATTACTGCCAAGCTACCGATATGCCAGGAAGAAAAGGAGACTACAATAATTTTTTTTTTTTTTATCCAGATGACGTGAATGTCCACACACAGAATGTGGAAAACGTGAATGCTCAGAAAGCGTAAACTGAAAAGACAGTTTGGCACAAGCAGCGCATGTGATCTTTCCCCTTCATATTTACGTGGATTCATGTACCACAACCGTTTTCGTGGAAATTATATTTTTTAAAACTTCATTGTCAACTTGGGGAGAACTATGCATAATTCCATTTTCACACATTATTGTGACATTATCTTCTTTTTCAAAAAATTGTTATAGTTTTTCTATTTTTAAAAAATTGTCTATTAATAATTAACTATTATTATGGGAATGAATACCTACAACCAATGTCATTAAAAATAATATAAGAATAGTTGTTTAAATAGCCCTTCCAACCGGAAAAGCTGGATTTTTTATTGGCCGACGCTCAAGTGGTAGATTACCCTATGCCCTATAGTGACTATAATAGTAATAGGCCTAAGCCTAATCATAAATTATGACGGAATAATTGCCAAAAGTGCCATAAAATATAAAAATAAAGAGATGTGTCAAGGCTAATTATTACATTTTTACTCTTTTTTCGACTCCCAACTTTTCACAAATTGTTGCTAAAATTGAGTTGCTATTGGACATTTTTGTCAATAACACGCCAATTAAATTTGTGTATAATAGTGTATATCCACTTTCGAACTGTCGGTACAGAACTTTTCCCCCCCCGCAATTTATAAGTTGTAGTCGCTGCCCTTGTTGGAACAAATAGGCTGATATTACCGCCAATAGGAGGAGAGCGGTGATAAAAAAAAAACAATGAATTATTAATAAAAATAAAAACCGTTGTGTTTAAAAATAAAATAAATTCAATTTTAAATTCAATTCAATTTTTTCTTGGCCGATCTAGGCTCATATTTTCACTAAAATACTAACATAATTTCAGTCTATTATTTAATATTTCCATATATTATAATTTAAACATTGCAAGCTTAAATTAAGGGTTAGAGTTAGACTTAAGTCTTAAGTGAGTGAAATCAAGGCCCTGGCTGGGTGGCATTTTCATTTAAGCAAGATCCATCACTGGGTATCGCGTAAGGTCTTAATATGCACTTCAAGTGTGCTTGGGTATTTTGGGAAAGACTATTCATCATAATTTTATATTTCTCTCGATATAATCTACTGTCTAAGAAATTATTAATTTTGTCCAAAATCTTTAAACTATAAAATGTATAGTTTGCTGAAGAAGGCTTTATGCCGAAACGTCCTTGTTTTTTGTCCTGTTCGCTTATTCAAGCTTCCACATAGCTCGTTTTTCTATTTCATTCAAAATCTTTAAACAGCATAATAATGGGGCATAAAAGGCGTAGGCCTATAGATCTAATAAAGCACGTGTAGAGGGGCGCAAAATCAGTGAGCCGGACAAAGAATTGCTAATATTATTTAAATTGAAAATCTAATAATTGTTTATATTTATAGAAATTAATATTTTTCGAATCAAATGTTTAAAAATCAGTGATTTTTCAATGATGTATCATTCTGTCAGTGTCATACTTATAATAGTATGCCTATTCATGCATAGAAATAGAAATACAGTAACTGTAGGCAGGTCTGTAGTGCTAAAGACTATAATGTAACCTGTAAAACTAAATAAGTTATAAGTTAAATAATTAATAAGTATAAGTGTAACAAATAATAAAGCCAAAACACGTCTGAAATGTGCTAAAAAATTTCTTTAAGCCTTAGGTACTAAAAGATAATTTGCTATCTATTGTTATTGACTGCTATATTGTTAGTATATTTTATTTAGTCATTTATCGTTTAGGATTATAAACCGGTTGAAAATTAAGATAATGATTGATACACGCATGAAGTATGAAGGTTGCTTTTAACAACACTTTATAGATACCCTGACGACGGGTCTAGGGAATTATGTAGACAATATATCACGTGACATTTGTTTACAACCTTATGTTGATTTGCGATGTGACGTAAGCAAGAATGTGATGTTTCCGCTCTCACAAGCGCAGCAATTCTCAAATTTTCTCAATTTACAAAGCTTTGTATTTTTAATATCACAGCTTTGAATGACAGTAAAAATATATTTTGCATTATTGGTGATATTTAAAAATTGCTTTTGATTTATAATTAAAAAATATTTGATATCATATTCAAAACCATTTTACCATACGTTAAAATGTAAACAGCGCTTGACAAAATTATGATCCCTTACTTATTAGAAACGCTGTTCCATCGTACCCCCGAATTCAACCAATCAAATCACGTACCGGTCATAACACTACATGCCATGCCGGCATGATTATATTCATGCGCGAGGTTCCTTTTTTAAAAATAACAACAACAAACATTTTTAAAACTTTAATTGCTGTAAAAATATAAATAGACAAATACTCAATGTAAACAAATTGTATGTTGTTTTAATGGAAATAGTAACTTTTGGAAAGCAGGTTTTCATATTAATTTAATCAAGATCAAATATTTTTGACGCGCATGTATAAAAGCAAGTGCTTGGCTGCAAACCATCATAACATAAACAAGAAATAGTTCATTCAAGCCTTGTGCTTGGCACGTCTGTGATCGGAAAGGGAATTTACTAACTTTTGTGTGAATTGTTTGCTGTTTAACTTTTTTAATCATGCCAGTCCTACTGAAAGGTTCTGATAAAAATATGTTTCCAGCTGTGGATGTAGAAACACTAGTGATTGAAGTAAGGGACCGATTGTGTTTAAAGAATCGGGAAAAGTTTTGCCCGAGTCGGCGAAGTGCCCCCTACCATGTAAACAAACATGTAGCTGTGTGTGAACATTGCAGTAGGAAGCATTATTCTTCACCGGAATCATGCATACATCAGCGTCATTGCAAACACAGGCCGAATAGTTTGTGTGGAGCTTGTTCATGTGCTCCAAAATCAAGGAAACTAAGTGACAGTCCAGATTTTGAAGACCCACATATTTTACTGGAAAAGCTTATCGCCGAGCAGTCGCTTATACAGGAAGCTGTTCGCCGTCTTCAGTCGCAAACAAAAACTACTCAACAATCAGACAAGTTGTTTCAATTTGTCGATGAAGATTCTTGTGATCAATTCAGCAACCAAACACCGTGTTATTCAGAATCCGAAGATGATTCAGTTTCACAGCACTCTGTGGACATATAAATTTACAAACATAAATTATACACTGACACACACTGCTGTTTTTGTTGACCCATTTCTAAAGTGGGTCGCGTCAGCCATTCGGAGCGACAAACTAGCTTAACTTAACAGGACTAGAATGTTTACAGGATAAAATACGCAGCAACATGACCTTGATCGATATGTTTTCTAAGATTACAGACTTTTCAATTTCACTCACAGGATGGGTTTATTCTGAGTTTAGTTATGGCCATTGGAATGGTTTCAACTGCACAGCAATGCATCATGATCATCATACTCTGTTTCAGACTCAGACCTTTCTGAATTTGACATACACACGAACATTTGAGTGACCATTGTCATTGTGGAGTGTTGTTTAACATCGAAGAGACAAATGGTTTTACAGTTTTCTGGCTTTCTTGCCTACTTACCTCATTCAGTCCTTAAACTTCTTCCTTTTAACATAATCCGACTCAATGTAATGTAATGCTAATTAATTTTTACCTCTACTTTGAAGAAGAGATTGTAAGTTATTTATTTCATGTTTTAAACCACCGCCAACAGTTAAGTTTTGTTTACAAAATTATTTTCTTGTTTTAAAGTTAATAAATTTACTATTACTAAGTTTATTCATCATTACTTGTCATACGTTACATACTTTTTCCATGTCTTTTCCCTGTTCATAAAATTAGTTTTGTCCTTCAGGGCGTGGCTTGAATTTGAACCTTCATTTATTGGTCTAAAATGGTTTAGTCATATGACTATTTTTACATTTTGATATTTTTATAGTTAGTCCAAGAATGTATAATATGTTTTCATGTTAGCTTTTTGTAACTTTGTAAGCCAGTTACATATGTTAATAAATCTGGCTCTGTTCCGTGAAGTATAAATCTTGGGATGAATGATTCTAATATGCCAACTTAAATTGAGTCATAAATCAATAAATAACATAATTTATATGCTCAGTGGGATTGTTCAGTTGTATGAGAAGTGGTTTGATAACAGTAGGAGTGAATAGTGATGGTATACTTTTCGTCACACACACACAAAAATGTTGCTACAAATATCATGCTTTGGGAATCTCATATTTGTTTATGTAAATCTTAGGATATCATAATCATGGTATAGCAATTTCAAACTTTTTTCAAAACATTGTTTCCACTCTGTACAAATGACATATGTACATTAATTTTGCCAACTAACACAAGGCAAAATATAGTGTAATTTTTTTCATTTTCTGAAACAAAGAAGATTCAAATATTTCAAATCAATTCGTTTTGAACATGATGGTGCTAGGCAGCACACTATGATCTTGCAGCATTTTTAATGTACCGTACCTGTTTAATTATTCTTCACACTCTATGTATGTTCCAGTATCTAGATTTTTAAAATTTAAGTTCCATATTATTGTTGTGATATTTCACCCCTCTCGAGCTTTGTCCTTTTATAAATATTTTGAGGCCAATTAGTTAATTAATTATGTGAATGTTGATATCTGGTTGCAAACACAATGCATACATTTCACTGTTATTATGATTTGTTATTGTGAGTACTTGATGTGTTGTTTTAATTTTTTTTTTAGAGAGTTGCGCAAATGTAAAGGAAAGATTAAAAACTGCTGTTTATTTTACAATCACAGTTGGTTCATGTTTCGTTTCTTTGTAGGGTATATTGTTGTCAATGTGTGTAATGTTAGCAGAATCTTAAAAGAATATGATTTTGGGATTGTCTTCAACAGATGCTATTTTCCATTGAGTAAGAATAAGAACAACAGATAGTGCGACATCAGAAGAGAATTATGATCTAAGTTGGGCCTACTGACTACCTATTAAGTTACGATTGAAAGGCATGTCACCAATATTTTATCCCTCAAATGAACTACTGGTACTTAATAAATCAGCCAGGCCTACTTTTTCTAGTTTCCCCGCAGTAAGAATCTTGGCAGCATGTGGCTAGGGTCAGCTCAAAGCTGTGTTAACTTTTCAGCGAGTTTATTTAAACCCATTAGATATATTGGACATTGATGATACTAATATAGGCATCATTTTCACTTTATTTGCAGGAACAACTCTTTTAAGATTGTTACCTTACTCTTAAACTAGACACTACACCTTAAATGTCTTCATGGCATGTATTGATAGGTACATATTTTATTAACACATGGCACTTTTGAATATGGTAAGTAGAAGACAAATTACAGTATTGGTATCGGCGAACGCCAGGCTTGTTTGAGTACATTCAGTTTCATAGAGGGAGGAAAAAAAACACATTTGTTTTTTTTTTCATTTGCATTATTTGATTACGTCATTTGTCAGTGTCCAACTGGTACCGGTACATTAGTTGCAACAATTTTACTCAATGCCGATTTCGGCAGCAAATAAATGTAAGTTTGGAACCAACACACCCAAATTTGACGTGTTCGTAATTAAAAATCTACACGAGAAAGTTGTTGCCATAGACATAGACAGTGGGCTTTACTGCGCAGGGAGGTCCCGCTACTCACCCCGATCGATGGCGTATCATGCCACTACGAAGAGTTCACAGGGGTCAAGGTCTACCTGAGGTGAAATAATTATTAACGGCTGCCCTACATTTTCAGTCTGTTTTCATCACTTTTGTTATTTTTTTATATATTTTTTTTGCACAGTAGCCTACACCTTACTAGAGTATACCATCATGAAGTGTCAGAGGGGTTCATGTAGAAAATAAACGAAGTATAGAAATAGAACAGAACTTGGTTGTGTGTAATTTGAGCTGAACTTGTTGACATCTGAAACATGTACATGATGTTGGTACGGTGCAGCCGGGTGACTGGTCTGGTACCGGCACTTGTCTACACATAACATTAACATACATAGTTAAAGTATACTCTAAGAACCGGGTATTAGTACTGGTACTATTGTTTGATCACAGTTACATCATCCATTTCTGATTATTCGTCATACTTATTTACATTTCGTGGAGTGAACAATCTTGTGCGGGTTAACCACGTCTAAGATTATTGCTACAGGCATAGTAGTAGTAGATTGTTTAGCGTTCTCATGTCATCGGCGAAGCGGTTGTTTATTTTTAGACTTGAGGTGGCTTAATGTGGGTCTGACGTCACAGAAAGCCTAGAACAAAATAAAATAATGCGCATTAAATCCTTTTGGGTTTGATGCTTAATGTATATGATTATGTCGTCTGCTTTGTGCTATTGGGCTTGATTCTTAATGAAAATGATTATTTCGCACGCCATCATATGTACCGGTACATGGCGATTAGCGTTTTGACAGTGTCGTTAAGTCTGAGATTGCAACACTTTATTTCGGCAATGGTCATGGTTTAGTGTCCTGGGACCTCGGCAATAGTTGACTGGGCGATGCGAGACCAGTGACCAGTGCTAATTGAATGCGACTCTCGTGGGAAGTAGAAAGTCGAATGTTTATTTCAACAATATTCTATGTATGCTCAACGTTTCCTTCTTTAATTTTAAAGTAAAGGCAACTCCCACCACCCTCCCTCATTTTGGGGGTCTTTTTTGGGGGGGTGGGGGGGGGAACTATTACAGAAACTTCCAAGAACAATGGTGTACCCATTTTTTTTTTTTTTAGTTGACTAACTAAATTTCCATATTTTAATTATTAATAGTAATTACGATGTGTGTACTGTGTGTGCCATGTCATTAATCCCATCACACTGTCAAAAAAATGTGTTGCCGAGGCATGGAAAGGCTCTCTTCCCCCCCTCCCCCCCCCCCCCCTGTCTACAGGTTTCCCCCCTCACGTATGGCTTCAAAACAAATCGACCGCGATGTTAAATGATCTATTCGTACAGTAAGCATAGATAGAATTAGTTCACTTCTGCACCCGAGGTTGAAACGCTGCATTCATTCTCTGCGCACGTTACACGCGTGTTGATGATACTGATACTGCCTGCACTGACGACGTCTGGGGGAGGGGGGGGGAAGGGTTGTCCAAGAACTATTCACAGGTACTGGGTTATTGATTAGGAATGGATGGAAGTTGGCGCCTTTAAATTAGTTCCTCCTAACTAGATAGGTTTGGGACCCGATGTGCGTGTTTGATCGATCCAGTCAGGTGTTTTCTCTAATGTACACCATAATGATACGTTTGAACTCCAAAGACACCAGCTTTAGGAGGAACCATGAACTAAGGTCACATCAGTCAAACTGTCTCTGTATTATGAGGTCACGTCAGTGAAACTGTCTCTGTATTATAAGGTCCCATCAGTCAAACTGTCTCTATATTATAAGGCCAATTCAGTCAAACTGTCTCTGTATTATAAGGTCACATCAGTCAAACTGTCTCTGTATTATAAGGTCACATCAGTGACAGTCTCTGTATTCCTCATCATTATTATGTCAATTAAAAATTGGTCAGTAAATCTATAACTATAATTATAATTTCCTCTTCATTTTTTTTTTAACTGAATGAAAATATCCTTATGCCATATCCCATTTTTACAAGTTTATTTTCTTTAGACTTTAGAGCAGCGGTTCTCAATCAACCTGTGGGTCGCGACCCCTTCGTGGGTCGCAGGACCCTTTTCCAGGGGTCGCCTAAGACCATCTGAAAACATATATCCTTACAGCTATGACGTAGCAACGAAAATAATTGTGTGGCTTGGGGGTCGCCACGACACTAGAAAAAGTATTAAGGGGTCGCGGCACTAGAAAGGTTGAGAACCACTGCTTTAGAGGCACTAAACCAAATCTTCAAAGCAAAAAATTTAGAGAAAAAAATGACCGGGGGGGGGGGGGGGGTCAAAGGGGGGCGTCCGGGGTTTTTTTGTTTCTTTTTACCTAAAGATTAATAATCTACACATTTTATGATAAAATCTATGTTCAAAGATTACCTATTCTCAATCGGTTAGCACAGTGGTTCCCAAACTTTTAAGTTTGGCGGACCGGTGAACAAGTTTCAAAATTTTACCAGGGACCGGTGCATGATTTATTTTTATACATTTATTTCTATTTGACAATAAATATGTATGTTATGGGGACCGGCAGTGTTATGCATGCGGACCGGTGGAGGTCCACGGACCGCCATTTGGGGACCACTGGGTTAGCAGACAAAAAATTCACAGGAATTGGAAAAAAAGTAAGGAAAATAATTTTTTCATGAACTTCAGACACCATAAATGATAGATAAGTCTAAAAGTTCAGTAGAAAATTGTTTAAAAAAAAATAAATAATATTGAATGATTCTTCGAAAAATCACATTATAAACCTAAATTAATTTAAATGTCGCTTTCAATACAAGCATTAATTTTATGACCAAAACGTACCCGGTAACTAAAGACACAAAAATATACCGGTACCATTTAAGCCATGTGGTCAGAGCGGCGTGCATTCCATCTATGTATTTTTAGATAGTTGTGTGGATAGTATAGGTTCTATTAAAAATCACGTGCCACCGTTCAGATTTTTAACTTTTAAAAACACAAAAGTACATTAAAAATAGCAGGTTAATTTCTGAGATTTATATTTATAAACACACACACATAACAAATATAAAATTTGAAAATAAAGAAATAAAAATTTGGCTTTAATGTAGTATCCTACAGAGCAGCAAGATGACTGAAGTGTCTAAGGTTTTAAAGGTCATTTTAATGTTCATGATATGGCGAATGATTTTAATGACTGCACAAAAATGTCTGGGACAGTAGCGAGCTTTCGTTTGAGCCGAAACCATTGAATAATACGTCACATTGAGGGGGGTGGGGGGGATGATGACGCCACATTGAGGGGATGATGATGCCACATTGAGGGGTGATGACGGCACCTTGAGGGGATGATGACGCCACATTGAGGGGATGATGACGCCACATTGAGGGGATGATGACGCCACATTGAGGGGATGATGACGCCACATTGAGGGGATGATGACGCCACATTGAGGGGATGATGACGCCACATTGAGGGGATGATGACGCCACATTGAGGGGATGATGACGCCACATTGAGGGGATGATGACGCCACATTGAGGGGATGATGACGCCACATTGAGGGGATGATGACGCCACATTGAGGGGATGATGACGCCACATTGAGGGGATGATGACGCCACATTGAGGGGATGATGACGCCACATTGAGGGGATGATGACGCCACATTGAGGGGATGATGACGCCACATTGAGGGGATGATGACGCCACATTGAGGGGATGATGACGCCACATTGAGGGGATGATGACGCCACATTGAGGGGATGATGACGCCACATTGAGGGGATGATGACGCCACATTGAGGGGATGATGACGCCACATTGAGGGGATGATGACGCCACATTGAGGGGATGATGACGCCACATTGAGGGGATGATGACGCCACATTGAGGGGATGATGACGCCACATTGAGGGGATGATGACGCCACATTGAGGGGATGATGACGCCACATTGAGGGGATGATGACGCCACATTGAGGGGATGATGACGCCACATTGAGGGGATGATGACGCCACATTGAGGGGATGATGACGCCACATTGAGGGGATGATGACGCCACATTGAGGGGATGATGACGCCACATTGAGGGGATGATGACGCCACATTGAGGGGATGATGACGCCACATTGAGGGGATGATGACGCCACATTGAGGGGATGATGACGCCACATTGAGGGATG